AAAATTTGGATTTTTGCAAGGGGTTGATAATCCTATTGTTCACTTCACTGAGCATTTCAGTTTGCAGGATTGCAACCCTTCATTCTCCTCAGGCACCACCACTTCCATGGAAAATTTTCCAGAGAAAGTATTTCACAAGCAGCCACTGAAAAATAAATAACTATGGTTTTAGCAGTCTCCCTCACCAGCTTTCTGAGGCAGGATAATCATAGTCTTTCCAAACTCCAACCTCAGGAACACAATATAATGGCAAATGTCAGACAGACCACTTGGGATTAAACAGAAGACCAATGGCTTCCTTTATTCAGCATGACATCTTGGAAACACTCCAGGAGAAACTCATACATCCTTCTGGCTCTACTACATCAATTTGTTCAAGTCCATCCTGCTTTCCATCAGAGATGCCTCCTCTCCCTGCTCTCCAGGCTGCCAGACACCTGCTGCTCTGATGCCACCTCCCCTGCACAGAACCCCTCTGCTTGTGCCAGTGGCTTTAGGAACAGGTGCCACACCAAAGCACCACTTGGCTCCTGCAGCTGTGTCTCGATTCATCAAAATGTGTGATAAAGGGGCAGAAATGGGTGAGAGCAAAGAAGAGGTGGCATAAGAAGTGGCTGCGGGGACAGGTCTGCTCAGCCTGGCAGCTTTTGGTGAAGAAGGTAGGAATTTCACCTAACCAGACCCCCTGGAAAATTCAGGGGTGTTGTGGCACAGATTCATCTGAGGGAGATACAGATGGATTCTTCTCCTAGAGCACCGAGACTGCTTGTGAAGCCAGGCAGGATTCAAGTGCCATGGAGCACCCAGAAGCAGGACCAGCAGCACTGCTGTTGCTGGGGAGTGATTTTCAAAACCTCTTCCTCCATCCAGCGTCTGTGGCTGGATGTGGGGTAAAAGCTGTGAGCTGGCTGTTAGGAATTTGTGGACAGAGCAGCAAAGCACAGCCTGGTAAAGTGCTCAGCTAAGTGGCGTTTCTCTTTCGGCCTAAAGAATTTGGGAATGCAATAGCCCATCTGCTCTGAGATGATTAGTGAAGCTCCCTGTGTTAGCAGTCGGAGCCCTCTTGGGTTTGGTAGAAAAACAAAAAAGGAGTCAAAAAGTCTCTAGCAATGGCTTTCAGCCATTAGAGACCATAGCCTGTGGTCTACAGGGGACAAAAAGGTGGACAGCAGTACCCAGCAGGGCTGACTGAGGTCAGTCACTTCAGTTCTATAATTAGGAAATAAATAGCATGCTAAATAAACCCAGAGTAGAAGCTTTTGAGGAGCGTGACAGAGCTGGAAGTTGGAAAGGAGCAGCTGAATGAGAATGTGATGGAAAAATACTGAGCAGGTGGGCCACGTGCCACCTCCCCGACTGGTTTGTATGATGCAGCCGTTCTCCCATCCCGGGCACTTGCCTCCATGCGTTGCCAGCTCCTCAGGACAGAGGCTGGGCTATTTAGAGCTCTGCAAAGTGCCCATTACGCTTTTAGACACCATTTTCAGAAAACACGTAAGAGTGCAAAGAGCACTGTGCCTCCAGATCCAACAGGCTCCGGAACAGCACGGCTCTGCAGCCCACGAGCCAAAGCCTCGCTGGCACTGCAGGGAAGGCAGAGCGGGAGAAGAGGAAAAAAGCATTGCCTTTATTTCCATCTGCAAAGCTTTTTTTGTGCTCACATGTCACTGACAGGCACTTTGCTTATTTTCAGCTGGCAATCAAGCCCTGCCTAAGAGATGTTTTCCTTTTTTCTCTCTGCTACACCACTGGCAGAGATGAACACCCTGATGTTTCCTCCAGCAAAAAGGTTCCCTCGGGGGTGCAAAGTCCGCGGGAGTCCTTCAGCACACGGCGCGTTTGCTGAGCAGGAGAAAAGCTGGGCCAGGGGAAACGAAGCAGAAAAAGAGTTTGAGTTCCTTGTGGCAGCAACAGCCAAAAAGAGAGAGGGATGTGAAGAACAAAAGGTGACTGTCACCACGGTGTTGCACGGGGGTGTCTTCAGGCTGGCTCAGCAGCACGTGGAGTTCTCTCTGGCTGGTACCTTTCCAATTGCTGAATTTAAAAAGGTGGAATTATCATCAGTCTTTTTTTGGCCTCTGTACAGAGGTAATTGCCTGCCCAAAGCACAAGGCAAAGCTGCATTTTTCCCCGTGCCTGCAGTTCCCTGCACACACATTTGACCCCTTTGATAGTAACCACACTACTCAGAGAAGGATCCTCCTGTCTCTAGAGCATTAGGGTGTTCATGGACACCCCCATCCCACTTCCCTGCACTAACATCAGGCAGAAACATCTGCTGGGCTGGTGCTGCCAAATCCTTCCCTACAAGACTGGGAATGAAGCTCGGCCCTTCCCAGCACCCTTCCTTTTGGGATGGTTCAGGCTCCTGCTCAGATGGCATTTCCTGAGCATGAGCTGTTTGCTGTGAGTGGCACAGCCTCTCTGCTGGCTCGGGGCGGGAGAGCTCCACCTATGGTAACACTGCTGTTCCCAGCGCCAGCCCTATGGAGTGGGCCGGCTGGAGCAACTCCCTGCACCCTCTGAGCGAGGGCAGCTCCCTTCACAAGCCCTTTGTATTCCCAAAATGCTCTTGTTCCCTCCCAGACACCCCTGCTCCCACACCACAAGGTACAGCTGGAACCCCCCAAGGTCACTCAGAGTGAAATGCCAATGACTCGCACTGATTCTTCTTCCCCTTCCTGGAGACACAGCACCTTTTCCATCACTTCCCTTCTTACTGCAATAAACAAAACTCAGGATTTTGGCTACTGCTGCTGCAGCCACCTGTGAATTTGTGCTGCCACCTCGCCAGTGTTAAGTCCCCTCCAGTTCTTGGCTCTCATTCCTCACTGATGCATCTGAGCAACCCTGGTGTAAAAGACCGTCCTATGTTTCATTTCTCCTCAGCAAGAAGTGGGCAGCTGAGAGTTTGGTTTGCTCTGCTTTGTGGCAGGGTCCATAACAAAGCTGTCTTCTAACAGCTGAGCTTCTCTCAGGTCAGAGAAATCTCCAACAGCCTCAAGGATTTAAAATAAAAGCCTTACCCAGAGGCTCAGCTCCGGTCTGTGGCATGTTTTCCTGCCTGGATCTGTTTTTTCCTGCCTGGATCAGATGGTGAAGGAGCTAAGGTACACCCGGAGTCAATTGGACTGCAATTTTGTGTAATCAAACTCAAACACATTCCTGAAATACTTAGTTAAGCCTGATACCGGATGTTTATCTGCTGAGCCTATCTGGTAGCTCGATCACAAGCATAACTCAGCTGCCTTGAGACACACCAAACCTCAGCCCAGCTGAGTTGCTGACAAATTTAGTAACCATAAACCCTGGGCAATCCCACAAGGTTAATTAAACGATAAGGAATACTGCTGTTTGACTGAGTGGTGCAGGATCACACCTGGAGTAATCGAGGAGGAGAGGATGCCGCTGTTTGTTCTGCCACCGTCATTTCAGCAGTTCCCTCTCTCCCCTTCCTCAGAGCTCTCTCCTTCCCTGTGACTCAGGCTACAGCAGTTACTCATCTCTCCACATGCACAGCGCCCTGGAAAATGTGACTTGCTCCTTGAGAGCTTTCTCTACGTAGGAAGCTCCAACTCCCAGTAAACAGAGGAACCAAAATGTCTGAAACGAGAGGAAGGATTTTTCCACCCAGTTATATAAAGCAACCATGAGCACAGCTCGGAACAGTTGATGTTACCAGCAACGTAATGCATGGCTCTTTTGGGATAACACAAGAAAAGTAGTTTTATAAACATCACACTGTGGACAGTTTGTTATCTTATAATTTGTTTCCCTCAAGTGCCTCCCTGACATGGTGGGGTCCATCCACCTTCAAATGGATTTTGCTGTCCCTGTCACACCCCCCACTTGTGAGGAGGACGCTGGGCATTCCTATGCCTCTGAGGGACCAGGGAAAGCCCTTCCCTGCTGCTGGCACAGCCCAAGGGTGATCCTGGTGTTTGCCACACACAGGTGGCCTGTGGGCCCATGGCAACCAAACCCAGCGTGGTGAAGGCCCTGAGACCATTTTTTAGGCCCTAAAGTATTGTTCGTAAATGACTTTTAGTTGCAACACGTTATTACAAGACCAGCATCCAGCATCAGCTCATAAGTAGCCTAGAGGGGGCTTTGGCCCTCAGGACCACGGAGCTCCGAATCGCTGAGAGGTGAACGTGTCCCTCATCTGGAGCCGCTCCCCTTACAGCCTCCCCTGCACCACGGGCGTTGGCTCCGGCGGCAGGGAGCGGCGAGGCTGAGGATGAAGCTGTGGCTCTCTCAGGCTCTGTCATGGCGCCGGCGCTCCCGGCCCCCCTCCGGCACTGGGAGCCCCGCCCCCCGCGCCCTCTGCCGCCAATCACCGCTCTCCGCCTGACTGACAGGCCCCCAAGCCAATGGAACTGCGGCATCCCACCCCGCCGCGCCTTCTCCAGCCAATGGCGCTCGCGCGTCTCCGCTGGCGCGCGCGCTCCCGCCCTCAGCTCCCTTCTGACCAATCGCCGCGCGGTCCTAGGCGGAAGCGATACTACGGAGGCCAATGGGAGGGCGAGGGCGGCTGCTAAAGGGCGGCTGGCGGCGGGCCCGCGGCAGACGGGCGGGAGCGGCGGCGGGAGGAGTGGAGGGTGCTGTGAGCCCGGCAGGGCCTACAGGTGAGGCGGGGAGCACCTTCCCGCGGGGCTCGGGAGGTGGCCGGGTCTCCCTCCCGTTCTCCCGGCGGTGCGTGGCCGCAGGGGGCTGCCCCGCGGCCGGGTCTCGCCCTGCCCAGGCACCGTGCGTTGTCCTCGCGTGTCTATTGCCCGGGGCGGAGGTGGGTGTCCCTCGGCGTCCGGTTCTCCCCGGGAGTGGAAGCTCTGGGACTGGCGGTACGGTGACAGCCGCCCCCTGCCCTCCCTGGGGTTGTGAAGCTGGGCCGGGAGCTGCACATCCCTGTGCTCGCAGGGAGGGAAGGCCGGGGTGGGATGCTGTCGGGAGCTCAGTGCAGAGCAGAGGGTGGCCCTTGTGTGGGTTAGAACCAGGGCAGCTGTGCCTCCGGCTGTCACGTCACACTGTTCTCCCAAACGGCTTCTTCTCTGGTGCTCCGAGGTCCTGGCCCCGCTGGGAGCATCTCGCATCAGCTTCAGACTCCCTTTTGTTAGATACTGTGTACCTGCTTGTCAGCCTGTGTGATGGGATTGCTCCTTTCTGCACCTTCACGTGTAATTTGTGACTTCCTCCAGCTCACGGCGGGTAGGTGCATCTGTTACAGCTGATGAAATCCCTCACCTGACACTAACTTCTTTGGAGAGGTTTGTCAGCAGTAGCTTTATTCACGCAGTTATGGCTGGAGGGATTGCATTCTGCGTTTTCATGCAGGTCTCCTCAGAGAATTCATAACAGCTTCCTCTTATTGTTGATATACAATTGTCACTGACCTGGCAAGCACTAAAGATTCCTGTCTGCCTCTTGCAGATTGCTGCTTGGCTTCCACAGCACTGGTGCCTCATTCTGTGGCAAATGTTAGTGGCTTGTTAGTCAGCTAACTGGTACAGTATATTCATCTTACAGGCCTTATTTATCACACTCAGCTGCATTTGTAATATTGCTCAGGTTGACATGTTCTAGTCCCTGCTGATGTGGTGTTTGTAAGACACTCAGTTCAGCTGTTTGCATTTGTGATATCTTCAGACTTTCTTCAATAGCATTTATTTCCTCTGCAGGGAGTTTTGTTATTGACAACTCGTCTCTGGTTGTTGTGTTATCTTTTCTTGGTTTGTCTGTGTCCTCTCTTAGGTGCTTGCTTAGTTCTCATTTCACAAGAGGAGTTTGCATGGGTTCTCCTGTCTCTTGGATCAGTGGACATGCAGCTGTTCTTATTTGAGGCATGGCTTATTTTGGTCTCAAAGTCAAGAGTAAGAACAGTAAGGTTATTAAAAGGGAAATCAGAGCTAATGTTTGGGTTCTTCTATTCTCTTGCCTTATTCTTAAAAACAGTTGATTTTGCACAGGAGGTCCTCTATGTTACTGAGTGAATTAGCTGCACAGAAGATGGGGCTGATCTAAAATTGTGTCTTTTTTAGGGGTGGAGAAGATGGCGAGCTTGCGGATAAGTCCTTCCATCATGCCCAACTGTTTCTGAAGAAGTTAAACTTGAAAATCAATTTATTCTACTCTTGTAAAAGCTATATTTTTCTATTCAGGGAATGAATAGCAGCTTAAGCTCTTAGTGTTTCATAAAGCTGCTTTATTAAACTTGTCATGGGAAAACGCAGAGATTAACACGTTGAAATAGTTGTTCTGGGATGTGGCACTGGGAAAGAAAGATGGCTGAATAACGTCTTCTGTCCTTGACACAGGTTGTCCGAATCTACTAAGTTCCAATTGTACTTCTAGGTGTGATTTGGTGCACAACAGGAAATGGTGGCTTTAGAGCAGTGATTCAAACCTTCTGTAGTTTAACCTCCTTCAATAATGGAAATGGACTGGGTGCTGCTGGATTCACATTGTCCTGTTATTCCCCTTTTTTGCTCTGTATCTCTTGCCTCCTCGTCTCTACTTTCACACTGCTGGCTCTGGCAGTACCAGAACTTGGAATAAGTTAACAAAGAAAAGGGTTTAGCAAAGTTTCTGGTAGGGGTCTAAGTGCTGGGATCTTATAATAAGCTGGGTGCTTATAATTCCTATTGCAAGGTAAAGCCTGAAACTGGTGGCTTGGACTTTCCAGCAAAAACCTAAATAACCAGAGTTTTGCTAGTATATTGGAGTCTTCATCTTTGCTTTTGAGTTTCTCTGAAACAGTGTTTCGTGAGGTGTTATAGCTCTGAATTGCTATTCTTAGGGTGCTGTAGAGCAATTGATCTTCTGTGCAAATATTTGCCCTTCTTCAGCCTAAATATCTTGCAAAGTTTAAATTTATATACAGTTAAACAACTGATCAAACTCTGCTGACTGACTGCAGTACCAAACAGTTGATTTAATTTCAGTGTGCAAGGGCACATTGTCCTTCTTGTGGAGAAGCAAAGTCCCACTTGCCCAGCATATGTGGGTGGCAGTGATGCTAACCCAGTCAGGCAGCTAACTCGGCCTCTTCTGGCTCTGGGAAGGCTTGTATGCTCAAGGGCTTGTCTTTTCTTCAGCTGTATCAGTTGACTTAATAATAAAGATTGTCTCTGACTGCCAACCTTGCTTTGCCGATATCAGGCAGCAATAATTGAAAATGCTTTGCAAAGCAGTTCTGTACAAACCAGATGCTTGAAGCATCTTTGTGCCTGTGCTCCGTTAGAGGTAGCGGCAGTGGAAGGAGGTGTCACAGATTTTTATCTGTACCTCTGGATTGACCAAGAAGTGCGGTTGCCTCGCACTTACTCTGCTGTTGAGAAACACTTGTTTCCCTTCGTCGTGTGTTTGATCTGACTAAAATAAATGAGAGTGACAACTTCCTCTACTAATATGGACTGAGCCCTTGCAAAGACCATTCCGAAATGTCTTACGTATTAGTTTCAAGTAACTGAGGTACAGCCCTATTCAGGACGTTCTGTCCTCAAAAAGTGTCGTACAGGCTCCTCAAAAGGGGACAAAAGGCTGCCATTGAGAGAGTCACTCTTCAATAATTTGTCCTCCTTCTAAACTTAAATCTTCAAAGATGCTTTTGCATAGAGCTGCAGGTTCCAGAAAGGTTATGCTGAAGGTGTTCAAACCTGGCTGTCCCTTAACTGGTACACCCAGTTCTGTGAAGGTTGGGCATATGTGACTATGAAAGGTTGCACTAAGTGAAATAAGCAGATGCACAGTCACTTACAGTGAATGTCTTTGTAAGAGGTAAGGACAAAATGTCCTAAGACATATGCCTATAGTATCCCTAGCCTCTCACTTGGAATTCAGCAGGAGAGAAGGCAATGTAGCTCTTCAAACGTGGAGCTGCTGGTAACTGTTTTAGTTGGCATTCTGGTAGAACCCGAGTACTTGGCAGTGGTGGTAATTGTTTGTTGGTCAGGTCCTGTCTCTTTGTATGTAGTTCTTCTGTCCTGAAATGTTGTTGCTTCATTTTCAATGTCATTACATGAATTGGACTTCTCTAGTGTGAACCTTCTATCAGTCATGGACAGACTCTGAGAGAATGACTCTGCAAATCTTCTGTTCCCCGGTGGAGAGGAGCTGCTCATCAGGGAAAAAAAATAAGGTGTTTGAAGGCCTCAGTCAAGTGGCACCTCAGCTTAGGATCATGTTCAGATATAGGTGTTTTCAGACTGCTTGAACTGGACCAGTCTTGAATAAAGTTCTCATACCTGTGTTGTGCTTTGGGATAGGTGGTCTTTCCTTGCTCTGCAGCTGGTCTGGTGTGGAGCATGTTCCCTACTTGGTTGTCTGTGCACCCTGTGGCTGAGCAAACAGCTGTGATGTGCTTGGTTGGACTTTGAGCTGCTCCTCCAGTATGAAAAGCTGAGCTCTGTGACTGGGGATGGAGGGGTTGGAGTTGGAGGGTAAATGAGGCTTTAACAATATGATACTGTGCTTCAAAATATAGTGAGAGAATAGAGCAGACTCCTTGGGGATGTTGGTCTGTAATGTAGTTTTTATTAACTCTCCCAGTTCTATGGCTTGATGCTGGGATCATTCCCTCAACTACTGAGCATGGATTGTCAGGTTCTTTACAACCTGTTTACTCCACTTCTTCCCTTGAGCTTGATGCTGCTCGCTGGCACAGGGATAAGCAGCTAATACTGTAAGGCTGTGGAAAAGTGTTACCCAGTATTTCTCTCTGTATGCAAAACTAAGCTTGACCCCTTGTACAAGAAGCTGAAGCTTTGCCCTGTAGTTCCATAAGGCAGTGGTCAGGGTGTGACGGTCCCAAGTCTCTGTATCTTATCTTAAAGGAAAGGCTTATGTTATCTAAGCAAACATGGTTATTTGATTACTGCTATTAATTGATTTCAGTGAAGTCAGAGCCTTGTTCTGTGTTAGTTTACTCATGTTCATCAGGGGTGTGCAATAAAAGCTAATGCAGTGGTTTTCAATCCGTCTGAGACAGAGGAGCCAGATAAAGCAACATACGTGGAGTCTACATAGCAACCTCTTTGGGTAATACTCAAAAGCTACCTGTGGGGCAGTCAAACTATTTTTGATCAGCTAAAATGATATTGTAAAGAAACAAAGGCAGTTCCTGTAGTTGGAAGGAAGTGAAATTCAAGGCTCATTTGACTGTGAATTGCCCTTTTTGGAGAACTGAAGGACCTAAAGAGCCTTTGGCCCTGTTGGCTGTAGAATTATTCTCAGGTGCTTCTTAGGTGAGTTGCCTTGGGATGTACACCCAGCCCTCTTAGGAGGTTGATTTCTGCTCTGAAGATGTAGGATTCCTCAAAGTCAAAAAGGAAAAAGCTCCAGTTAAACGCACCTGTCTTTCTGCACTGATGGTGCCTTGTGCTGGGAACTTTATCCCTGTAACCTCACAGTACCTCTAAACTTAGTATGAGCCAAGTATTGTAATTCATGAAAAGGTCAAATTCCAGTGAAGGCACCAGCCAAGAAATTCTTTTTGGAACAGAGTGTAAACAATACTTGCTGGTGTCTGTCCTTGCCAACTGGCCAAATCCTGGCCTGGGTGCAGGCTCTGGCATGAGGTGGAGGGATTTGCACCGAGGACTTCCATGTGCTGTCCAAGTAGTGTTCTTTTAAGCATCCTTGTGAGGGGACATGTCAGTGTGCCCTCTTTGGAGATAAAATCTGTCAGATATAGGACAACAAAACCATGGGGGGCTTTGCTGGACTCCTGAGGACTGCGCTTTATCTCTCGTGGCCACATCTAACCCTAAGCTTAAGTGCTTGAAGTGCTCAGCTAATTCTTAATTATACCCTCTGTGCTCTGAGGTCTGAGTCTTAGTTGGCTCTTTGAAATGGCCAGAAGTACCAAGTGATGCATCAAGATGATCTCAGCACTTGTTTCACATGTTTTTCTTTAAACCACCACCAAAGGTTATGGGAGGTTTTGCTCTGGATAAGCTTGGGCTGGGTACATGCCAGTCTCAAGATAAGTGGTGTTGTGACTTGCTTTGTGTGCTTAAGCTGATGAGGTATAGTGCTGGCGTGACCCTAAAATACTTGTATCTATTTAATTTTCTTGAAACAAAGTAGCAGTTTAGACTTGACACTTTTCCATAAAAAGGAAATCATTTTTTTATTCAAGTGCTGGTAGAAGGTAGGATATGGGACTGTGCAATAAAGCTTGAGTCTTTCTTCATGATTACTCTTGAACAGGTTCCTGTAGTGGTGTAGATTGTGTGCCTTCAGACTGCCCTCCAGTGCTTTACAAAAAGTCTGGCAACCTTTCCCATCAGGACACATGCTTCAGAGCCTTTCCCAGGTATATTCATCTTCATCTGGATGGTCTCAAAACATCTTCCTCTGCATTGAAACCCTTGAATGCTCAGTAATGTGACATTTCTGTACACTTCCTGGAGTGAGATTTGAGTAATATGCGTAAAACTTTCCTTTATTTAAAAAACTATGCACTGCTCTGGCTTTCAAACCTCTCTTAAATAAAGTTCCCTTCTCCATAGCATGGTTCTAAATATCTTACCTGGCAGTGACAGGCCTGTAATTTCTGGTTTTGCAGTGTATCTTTCAGAAGAGGCATTAGGTTTGGTTGATATTAAAGAAAGTTAATTTCCTAGAAACATTCCCCAAAGAACTAATTTCAGTGAAACAGCCATCCTTCTTTGCCCTTCAAAGAGGTGGTAAAAAAAAACAACTTACTTCTGATCTGCCTAGGAACAACTCTTAAAGTAGGGTGGGTTTGCTTTTCTCTTGTCTCACATACTTGCTTTGAGTTTTAGTCCCCAAGTGGACACTAAAAATATATTAAACCAGTCCAAGAAATGTGTGGTGCATTAGTTAACAAAGTCTGTCTGCTTAGTCTGTCAGAAGCAGCTTCTTTGACTCTTCTGAATCTTTGTGGGTAAGAGAGTATTACACTACTTGGTGGAAGCTGTAAAAGCATCAGAAAGGGGATTTTTAAAGACTTTCAGTGTTGACCAGGCATGCTTCACTCTGGTGTCCAGCTGAGCTCTGAGAGCACCAGAGAGCCAGAGTGGTGACTGGTGGGAGGGCAGCTATGAGGCTTTTGTACTGAGCTGCCATTCCTGGAAATGGCATTCCTTCAAGATTCTTCAGTCAATGTAATGGAGCATAAAATATCTTGCTAGTGGAGTCCCTTTCAAAGAGGCCTTTGCTCTTGTCTGTTCCGTGTAGCTGCATCTTTGCTTTAGCCAGAAGCATTTCTAGTGAAATGAGGCTTTCAGTGGCTCATTAAAAGGCCTGAAGGAAGGACCCTGTGGGAATGGCTTCCTTTAATGTCTTTGCTTTTTTAATGTTGGCTTTCCAGTATGCACAGTCAGACTCTGCTTCCATGGGTGGAGGAGCTGTAATGCTTGGTAGTTAACAAATCCTGATTGTGCCGCATTGAGTCACAGCATGAAGTGACTTCTGTCCCTGGAAGAGTTTCCTCTCCACAGGAAACCTGTAACTGAAACATGTACAGGTCCTGGGTTTGTTGACAGTTGTGAATTCACTCACTATACAAGTAAATATTTTGATGGCTTTTCCAAAACCTAATGTCTTTGAAAGGATAGTAAGGAATTTGCTGTAGCTCTGCTGGCTTTTGTTGTGCTTGTTTCTGTTCCTGTCTGGAAAGGGGAGACGTGGGGGTTTTTTTCTCGTACTTGTACAGATGAAGTGCACTCTAGCAATAGTGCTGAAATGTTTCCTGCAACATGATTTTCAGCTTTTTGTGATGAAAGGGGAAATGAAAAGACCACAAATTCAGCACCTGCTTTCCAGTGATTGATTTTAAACATAGCTCTCACTCACAATTGGGACTTAAGAACATTGCTTAGAAGGGCTGTTGGTCTTGGGGGCTGTCATACCTATAAGTGATTCTTTAAAAAAAAAAGGTGTAATTGAGGTTCTTCAAAATAACATCCTTGGAGCCAAGAGTTTCAAATTCTTTGTGTTCCTCAGTGTGGATCTCAAACTCTATGATGGATATAAAGGCAGGCTTGATTGCTTCGAGTGGTACTGCCTCTTGGCTAGTTTTGTCTAACCTGCCAGAAGTGAATCCAGTGTTCTGCATACAGAAAGGACCAAATGTTTGTCCATTTAAATTAGTGCTGACCCTGTTAGAGGATATTCTAGATTAAAATTTGTCTGGCTCAACACTGTGGTTATCTGTCCTTTCTCGTAAACAGACAAGTTTATTGGGTCGATGCAAAAAGGGTTTAACAAAACAGAAGCAAGGTGACCTTATCCCAGCTGGTAAAGAGGGAGGCATTTGTCCTACGTGATTAGAGGCAGAGCTCAAATTCATTTTATTAAGCTAAACCCTTGAAATTTTAGAGCAGAGTGCCTTGACTCAGCCCCTGCAAATCTGCCCTGGCTGAGATGGGTCTGTTTAGGTTTTCAGAAATATCAAACTGTAGAGGAGGTACCTGAAGTGCCACGGCTGAATCCATAGGGCTTGGAGTTTACCAATCTAATCTTCATGGACTTAGATCCATTGCTTAAATAATTACTGCAGATACCTGTGCAACTGCAGCAGCAGTGCCAGCTTTGTGTTACATCTGCAGACTGATCTGAGCTTTTGGGTGAAGATCCTGACAAGTACATGATCCTCTAGCACATGTTTGAGGTGCGTAAGTTCAGTGAATGTGTGTTTAGAGTGTCTTAAAATGGAAAAGTACTAGTTCACAAGTGTCAAAGCATAATCCTGCCTACCAACAGCTGATTTTTCTGTAAGTAATATCAAGCTGTTTTAAGGGAGTGACAGGCTAAAATGAGATCTAAAAGTATCAGAAAAGACATGGTGTGTTTGTAATCTGAAGATTATATGGCAGAGAGCACTCTCAGGGAGATAAGGCTTAGCTGGATCAGTTACGCTGAATCATTAGTACAAAATCCTAATGACTAATTGTGCCCAGGTTTATTTTTAACAAATTCACTAAGGTGAAAGCTGTAAATGGCAAACTATCTTAAAATCCAGGTGGCAGGAAGGTCTGGGATAAGTCTTGTATTAGTGTCTCATAATTTTCTAAATAAAACAATGAAAGGAATATGTTAACAGAACTCCTGGGAGTCTCAGCTGGAGAAGATTTGCTTGAGCACCTGGTTATCCTGGAGTTCAGGAACTTGGTCTGCTCTTCTGCCACTTCTGCCTTCCCTTGGGAAGCCATTTCTGTAGTTTGCCTGTTGTCTCCTACACAACTGATGGTAGGCTTGGTGAAAATATACTAAGTATGGATATGATACAGCTGAACATTTTGCTTGAACTCTTCATTGAGATATGTGATGCCAATGTAATCTTCTGAGTAGAAGATGTCTTTTTGTGGCCCACTCTGCTCCCTTCTACTGTGAAGCTCAGGATTGGAAAAGAAAAGCTTTAGAGCTGTCCAAAATTAAATGTCTCTTCTTTCCTCACCTTCTGTTCTGTGATGCATATGGTTATGGTGGCAGAAACTTGCAGCTTTTCAGCACACTGTTAATCAATAGCTGATGTCATTTGTGTTTTCTTCCAAGGGATTTTGGTGTAGCTGCACTGAGTACAGAAAGTACTTCTGATGCTCTTCATTCCTGCTAGGAAGAATAAAGCTTTGATATGGTCTGTCCTGGTGGTGTGTTTTCCATTTGGAAGCAGCAGCTGTGGTAGGGAGCAGACAGTTCTGGAGCTTTTCCTGGAAGCTCTGATTCCCCATCGATTTGTTGTGCCTGTAGGAAGCCAACTCTAATTGTAAATATCACTTACGCTTTTATGGTCACAGGCTGAAAGCTCTGTCCTTTATTGGCATCATCAAATTCTTGTAACAAGCCTTCTTGCATGTGCACTAGTATTAATTAGGTGGCTGTGTCTGAGCCTCCTGTGGCTCTCACAGTCTTGAAGTGTTATATGTTGTAACATCTCAAAAAGCAAGTGTGGGAACAAGCAGAGACTGTTTACAAGCTTCCATCTGTAGGAGTGAGCTGCCTTGCTAAGCCTGAATAAAAGTAGCAGGAAACTTCTTTCAGTCTGGCTTCACACTTCAGTAACAGTGTAGATATTGCAGAAAGTTGAGTAAAACAGCATCCTGCTAATTCTGGTCTTTTAAATACAAAGGGATTAGGATAGTTCTTCTAATTTGGTACAATGCTGCACTGTCTTGCAGAGATGGGGTCTGTCTCTGCTCATGAAGGTGTATTTACATACTGCAGATGCATTAATATGCTGTAGGCAAGTGATCTAGTCTGGAATCTGTCCACAGGGAAGAGATTTCTGATGCAGATGTATCACAGTTGAAGTGGTTATGACTGACTACACAAATCACTAGCAATGTCTGTGGTGGGACCTTTGTATAAATTTGTGTTTATCTCCAGCTGAGAGATGCAGCTTTATCAGTAATAATCAATTTGCTTTTCTTCCCTTCACAGGGTAACTCCTGTAGCACGTGGATCCAGAAGGTGGCAAGTCTACTGAGGGCTGGCAGTTTTTTTCTAGCTTGAGGAAAAATTGAAATTGGTAAGACTTGGCTTGTTGGTTGATATCTTACTTGGGTTACCCATATGACTGAGGAAAGACTGAGGGAAAAACCTGCCCCTTCAGCAACAACTGCAGCCAGCTGTCTGAACTGTGTGTTCAAAAAAAGCTGGATCGGTTTAAAAACTTGATTTCAAGCCAGAAGGATATATTTTCTTCTTTTAGTTCTTTTCCCTGCCTCTGTTCCTTTACTCTGAAACCCTTGAAAGACTAGATATTAATCTAGTCCTTTGGCTGCAGAACTGCAGTGAACTAAAAGAAATGCTGAAATTACCAGTACATAAAGTGACCACCTTAAACGGAGGCAGGATTTAGTACCAGTATTCTCATGGAATTGAGAATTGTCAGGCTGAGGAACTAACACAGCAGTTCTTTCAGGTTCTCATTTTTAAATCTGTCTTGTACATCTGTGAAGAAACATACATCTAAAGCTGCTAAGGTGTCTTTATAGACTGACTTTTCACCTGGCTTCTGTTTGAGCTGTGGGTAGTCTTGTGCAAGATCCTGAATGCACTGACTGGCTGCAGACCAGGGCTTGACACCTGAGACACTGGTGCAATTGTAATGCAGCACTGATTAGGAGTAAATCTCCTTCCCAGCTGATCACCCAGTTTCTATTTCTTCTGTTGGTCTGGGTGCTTAGACCAGTACCAAAAAAATTTCCCTTCATCTTGAAAGTTGCTAGTCTGAGTTGATATGCTAGGATTTCTTAGCAGTGTTGACTAACAAATTTAGTTGGTGAGCACAGTTGTGTATTTTACATGACAGTTAATACTCACATCCAACAGTGTATTTCTAAAAGCTTTTATTTTCTTTTTTTTTTATCTCCAGGCTCAAAATGAGTGCAATATTGGAAAGCTCTGAGCTGCCAGCAGTGTTTGATGGGGTGAAGCTGGCTGCAGTTGCTGCTGTGCTGTATGTTATTGTTCGCTGCTTGAATTTAAAAAGCCCAACTGCCCCTCCTGAACTCATTTACCAGGACTCTGCTTTGGCCCGCTTTCTACTCAAATCATGCCCACTTCTGACCAAAGAGTAAGTACATTTTTTCCATGTTGACCTGTATTATAGAAATAAGAGCTGCACTTATCTGTTCTCCTGCCTAGTGTGTTTCTTAAACCCAGGTGCAAATAAATCAGTGCAGGGTGCAATCTTGATAAAATAAACCTGTTCCAAGTCAAGCATTTCATTATTGCTAGTGTCCCAGGTACCTGGAGTTAGGGCCAACCCTTGTTGTGCAGGGCTCTCCACGGATGCAGTCAGCACTTGTTCGTGTTCTTGTACTCCTTTCTCTTAGGGAGGAAATCTCTTGGGGGTCACAGGGAGGAAATGGTTTTTATGCTGTGTCAGTGTGCTTATAATGAACACAGGGGTGGCTATTAGTTTTAAAGTGCCTACTCCTATTTGAAGTGCCTTAAGTTGATTGAAAACTAATTAAATGTATTACTGGGTAGAGCACATCATAACTAGTTTAATAAAGTGATGACATACTGACCAGCTCTAGGGCTGTTGCATTCACTTCAAACTGACCTTATGTCAGCTGTGTATTTGAGCAGGCTGGTCCTTGACCCTCCATTCTAGGACCTCCAGAATCAGTGCAGCAGCTTTTATCTTCACCAGTAACCTTCACCAATAATAGGAAGCATTTAGTACAATTTCATGAGCATTTGGAGGGACAAGGACTTTGATTACAGTATTTATCTTCTGCAATCACTTTGAAAACTTGCAAGTCCTATTTAGAAGCCCTAAATACATCAATTATCTAGTAAGTGCTCAGTGCAGCTGCATGAACTTTCCTTTTGGATCTCAAAAGTCAAACTGACTTAAGGATAGTCATTCTAGGGGAGATGAGAGAGACTTTTAGCAGTGCTGTGTTGGGTGCCTTGATTACATAAGGTGTAAGATATGAGGCCATGGGGTCTGTAAAGTTTTAGAGGAAACAAAGCATTATCTGTTTCTAAATTGGAACCCAAAGAGGGTTCTGTGATGCGCTCCAGGTTTGGTAGTAATGTGTGTTTGGATTCTTGATTATGGCCACTGCCTCAACTGCAAAGCAATTACGTACCTAAAAAATACATTAAGGAAGTTCAAGTTACTTGGTACATTAGACACTTGCCATCTCAGTGTAGCAGTCATAGTCACTGAAGGAGAAAGCATGAAGCTGTGCTGATTACCAGTCTTGAAGGCATATTAGTATCAGCTAATCTTTGGAAATGGATTGGAAGCTAATTCAGAGTCCATATTACCCCTATTTCAGCTCTTCTCACAGCACAGGCTCTTAGCACTACTGTATTACAGCCATGTTTTTGACTTTCAGTTGGAGAACAAACCATACCCTAAAGAGTGAAAATGCAGAACACGTACTGCAATTTTTAGACATTTGTTGTGCATTAATTGCAGGTGTGAAGAGCTGCTTGCAGAACCCTGGTGTTGTGTTAATAGTGTGCAGTTGTGGGTTGTTTTCTCTGGATCAGCTGAGCTCAGGCTTGCCAACTTCTCTGAAAGCTGCAGCAGTGATCTCCAATAGGTGGTTCTTGGGTAGAATATTGTCTGAAAGGTTTCCATGACCCCAGGAAGCAAACTCAGCTGAAACAAGTTAGAGCAACGTGTCAATAGGTAGTTGTTCAGTCCTCTTACCGCTGTACCTCTGTTAAGGAAGACAGGAATATAATTGCTGTTGGGGATTGAAAGGATTTATAGGACAGACAGCTTTAAGATGATGTATATGTGGGTTTTTTTTTTTACTACTGATGTTATCAGGGACTTTTTTCAATACAGAAACTAAAAAAAAAAAATCAAAGAAATCCTGTCTTTAGGCATGAAAGTCACCTGGGGACTAAAGTGGAACAAATATATTTAAATTCCTGCAATTATGCATGAAATAGTTTGCAGGACTAATTAGCAAAAAGCTGTGTGAAAACAGCTTGTGCCATACTCCACTGAAAAATCTTGCAAGGCTTTGATTACTTGCTAATTATTCAGAGTGTTAGGAAAGCTGATTAAGCAGCTCTTTTCAAATTCTACCATGAAAGCAAAATAAGTAGCCCAGCAATCCCTTTTGTTATATCAGTACTGGGTTTGTTGTCAGATCTGTTATATGACCAATTCTTCTCTACAGAAGAATGTTCACAGCTGTGAACTGGCTTTCAGACCTGGTTTGTTCAGCTCCCTTACACTTCAGGGAGGAAGGGGTGAGGGTACTGCTGGGAAAAACAGGGTGGCAGGGAGAAAGCAGAAATAAGCAGTTATTCTATCCGTGCAGGTGTTCAAAAGTACTTGGAGAAAACACTTCTGGACTTTATTTTCCCTCTATGGCACCATCCTCACCTATGGACTTACCCGTTGTAACCGTGGTGTTGTTCAGTAAACCAAGTGGTGGTAGATGAATAATTGAGGAACTTTGAATTGTAAAACTGCCTGAGATGGCTGCGTGCCAGGTACCTTGTACTTGCCGATGTTAGTACTGCTTTTTACAGTTCTCTAAATTGCTAGAAGCTTTCTACTTATCTAGCAAACACTGGTAAGCAAAAGAATGTCTTCCTAGAGCTCATGTTTTCTTACCTCTGTCTCCCTTCCTCTGCCCTGTCCAGCTTTGTGCTTTGGCTTTCCGAGTAGTATAATCAGACACTTTTCCATTCAAATTGCTGCTTCTTACATGGAAGCTCTTGCAAATCAGCCCAGCTATTGGTGCTCTCAAGCCCTTGGGCCTAATCCCTGGCTGCAGCTGTCTCCTCTTCCTGTCTTTCAAATGGGTGCAGAAAGTCCTTCATCTGCTCTTACTCCTGTAGAAATGCAGCGCTGGCTCTTTGATTCATGAAGATAAATTTGGCCAGTGCTTGCTGTAGTAGGCTAGACTTTTTTTGGCTGTTTACAATTTATTCTATCATCAAGGGTATGTATCTTTATTTCCATAGAGATGTGGCACGTGTCATCCCTATCGAAAATAATTATCCTTGCTGTCTGCACACTTTTTATCATCAATAAAGGCAAGCTCCTCAAAGATTGAAGCAAATGACTGTCAAGCCTGTTAGTAAACACTGTCAAAGATCCAGCCTAGATCCTTCTTATCCTTTGTTTGCACACTAACCTATACTGGATAAGTAGGCTGCCTGGTACCAGAAGACTCCTTTGCACTGTCACTGCGTTTCTCCTGGATGCAAGGAGACAAGTAGTCAGAAAAGCTGTCTTCAAGCTTTTCAGTGTTCTTTTCTTCCTCCTAATAGCAAACAGTGTTTGATTCCTGTCAACTCCTTAGTGTTTTACCCTGGGAGGAACACTTCCAGGAGAATAATAAACTAGAACAACAGTGTTACCCCTGAAGCTTTGGCAGGTGAACATGCTGAGAGGCAGAGGAGAATGGCAGCTCCCTATTGGTAAGTCGAAGTGTTAACCTTGGGGAGAGAAGCAGCCTCGGGGTTTTGAGTTCTTGCTGGGTGCTGTGGCATTGGCAGGAGCCTTGTTCTCCAGTTCTTATCATCAAAAAACCTTCACCCTCTGAAGGAAGACTGTAAGTGCTGTAGTCCTCATGCCTTGTTTTGACTAAAATACTTCTTTGTAGTCAGTGAAGGTTGAGGAGGGGTGTGTTGGGCACTTTACTAAATAAAAGCTGCCTAAATGGTGAAGGAGGTGGTTTAACCAAGGAGGACAGTCTGTTCTTTTAAATAGTTCTAATTTCATACAGTTTCTATGGGCAGCAAACACTTCTACTCCACTTGGTAGGCTCAGGGGACATGGAAGCTCCTTAAACTGCTTAAATTTTTTTTGTTACATATTTACTCTGTTTTCATCACATTGAGCAGCCTAGATGAGCTGATGCAGAAAAAGCTGCTTTCTATATATTTGTTGGAGGGGGTTGAACCCTGCAGACTTCTAGATGAGTTTTCTTGATCAGAATTCAGATTGCATTCCCTCGCATCAAGTAAAGGACAAGGTTCAAACTAAGTTTGATTTTGTAAAGCATTCTTTAAATACTTCCAAACTGCTCAATAAAGGGGGGAGGAAAATAATCTGTCACCTGCTGTAATGCTGGCAGCAGTTCTCAGGGTATCCTGACATGGACAAAACATAGGCTCTGTTTTCTCACCATCAGTATCCAAGGTACTACAGGACATCAAAGGCTATGTAAGAGTTAATGTTTAAAGTGTTAATCTCCTCAGATGAAATGAAGTAATGCTCCAGAAATAAGCCTGTTGCTGAACTTCCACTTCAGATCTTTGAGGACCTGAATGCTGATGCTTGCTAATAAAAATAGCACAGTTTTTATGTGCTTTGTGTGAGCTGCTTATACAGCTGCTGCTTTCCTAAATTCCTGCATACTGAGCGATGTACATGCTCTAAAATTATAATCTACTGCCTGAGAGCCACTAAACCTAATCAGCAATCACATGTTGGAATTGTTTTAAATATTAAAATGCTAGGAGAAATATTTGTGGAAAACCTAGGAATTCTCTTGCTGTTGGGCACTGTTGTTTGCAGCCACCTATCAAGATGGGGGGCTGTGCTGCACAGTTGAAATGCAAATTTGGAGCTAAAACATTAGCATTTGTGAGCAGATTTATGTAACTGGCTGTGAATTCACTCAGTTCAGTTAAGACTGAACTCTGTACTCTCGTACCATATAAGTCAGCTTCCATAATAAATAATTTGCATCCCCAGGCCTGTTCTCGTGTCTGCCTTCTGTTGCAGAATCCTCTTACTGGAAGTTATAGGGCTGGTTACTGGAAGACATAACTGCTTCAAATATTTATCTTTACCCAGAGTCCCTGCTGTCTATTGCAACCAAATCAAAACAGGAAAATGAGTCAGTTAAAAGCCTTTGGGTCTGGAGCAAAGTGGGAAACCATTTTTGTTTCACAGACATAAAAATATCCATTTGTAGCACAATGCAACTTTTCCTTTGGATTTTATCAGTACATGCTTCTCTGTGTTACTGTGGCACATTATTCTTGTCCTTGTGTGGAGGTCTTGGCAGGAGGTCTTCCTGAGTGCTGTTCACCACCCAGCTGTCTGCTCAGCTTCTGTTACCACAAGCCACTATTGCAGAACAGTGAAAATGCTGCTTATAGGCACTGTTTGGGCCTGGGCTCTTGTACATCTGTGGGCAGCTCCACTGGAACAGGGTACTGAGGAATACATAGTGAGTCATCTCCATACGGGGAAGTTTGCTATGCTGGAGTAATAACCTCTACAATACACTGCTTTTCAAAACCACTTTGGTTTATAGCAGATATAGAGGAGTTGAAGTCTTTGAAGGCTTTCTCTGTTTCTGCTGATTATCAATGCTGGAGGGAAGCCAACTGCTTTTGAGTGAAGGGCCCTTGTTTGAAAGACATGGTTAAATTTAGCAGTAGTGATAGTTTTAGCATAAATTCTGAAGGGCAATGCTCAAATGTGCCTTAGACTGAATACTACTTAGTTGCTCAACCTGCATGGTTGTGTTGCATCCTGTTGAGCTTGTTTTGTTAAGGTAAGCCACAAGAAGGATACCCTGAGTACATGTTCTTCTTGTCTGCAGGATGTTGTTTTGGAGGAGCATCTTTTTCAGCTGTTTGCCATGAGGAACATTGGCTTCACGTTCTGTGCTAGCTATTGCTATCAGCACTGGGTTTTTTCAGCTGGGTTGAGTATAGAAATGTCTTTGGAACTGTTTCTCACATAATAGGCTTAAATAAATTTTATCTTTCAGAGGGGTGAAGGCTTTTGCACAATTCCTGGCGAATCTTTTCCCTTACCAGTGTGGTATTGTGCACCTTCATGGCTGAAGAGTTCTTTCTGTGCTTTCCTCTTTGAATGATTTTAGTAAATGCAAGCTGAAAGTCCACACAAACCCTGTATAAAAAGATGTCCAATCCCTCAATCCTGTACAGTCTTGCACTATCAGGCTCAGTACTTGGTCTTGGAAGTTCTTGTAGACTTTATCTCACTGAAAGGCATAGAAGTCACTTATAGGAAGATTTCAAAAATAGGCTTATCCATTCCTAAAATGGAGGGTCAACAGAGAGTGTGATAGACAGATCACATGTCTGATTCTGCTATAGCTTATAAGGATCTTGTCCTTAATGGAGGACAGACTTTACCTGAATTCAGTGATAGAGAAGAATCACTGTCAAGCATTTATTAGGTTTTGCAGTAGTTAGATTGGCAGCTTGTCTTGGTAAACAAAAGTAATATTTTTAATAGCTGCTTGTTTTTACATCAATCTGGTAAGGTAAATTTTAATCAGTCTTAGTTTTTCACTGATAATGCAATATCTGTACGATCTAGGCAACTTCTTTCTCCCTCCCTGTTCAGTCTCCTGGAGCCTGGATACTTAAGGGATGTGTTTTGCACAACAAAGTCGATTAAAGGTTGATGGACCTAAACAAAACTATTGGTGAGATAAGCTGCTGCTCAAATGCTTGGATGTATTTCAGAGCTTTAACTGCTTTAAAATAAAGTGCAAACTGTAGAAATACATTTAACAACAGTGCTTAGGTATTACTAAATAGGAGTAACAAAACTGCATCAGAGTACTATGCACATTACTCATGCTGAGTCTTGACCTTTAAATATTTATTTGAGAGTGCATTTTCATGCAGAATGACTAACACAAGGCATCTTTGCTGCGGGCAGTGTGATGCTTAAGCAGCTGACTGGAAGTTAGCGTCATAAAAGATAAGCTGAGCATTTTACTTGGTCCACAGGATGCTCAAACACTTGTTCACTCTGAAAGGAGTGTGAGTGTTCCCTTGTCCATAGGGCTTCACAGAGTTTAAGCTTTGAGGAAGATGTCGAAACTGTAGGTATCATTTGTCCATTATGGATAGTCACAGGGATTCCTGCCTTAAATGAAGAATGTATCAATGAAACTGCATGTACTGTTTGTCCGTAAAAGTAGCATAAAGGTTTGAGTTATTGCAGATCAGTACTTAGGTAACCTCCAGTCAGGTTATTCAAAGTCAGGTTTGGGGGTCTCTTTCCCAAGAGGAACCATCTGTGGAGGCAGACTGGTAAGCAGTGCACTCTTGTTAAGTGGTGTGCTTGAAGCCTTTTGTCTTAATTTAAACTCTGGCAGTAGTGGTGAGTCTTTGAAGACTCTTCTGATTTCCTCTCTAGCAACACCCTGTGGTATCTGCTGCTGCATCTCTTCCAGTGGATGACTGTAACCTATAGCTGGAAACTGAACTGTAGATTAAACATGAGGAAAGGTTTTATGCTTGCAGAGATCCTTGATTTTTGGCTTATATTTTTTTTCTATCAAGATGATAGCAGTAATCAGTGACAGCTGTATAGCTTAGCAGCTGTAGGTATTGCTTCCCTGTTAGCCCCATGGGGTAAGATTTTGGGATAAACGTTGATTTGAAAAGCACTGTATGGAAGCAGAATTGCCAAGACTTTACAATGCATATGCTTAACCCAAGATTGGAAACCATGAAACAATGTTGACATCTGAGTCTCTTCTAAAAGAGCTACAAATTCTTCTTATAGGTTGTATTTGTCAACTCCCCTCAAAAGCTGCCAGCAAACCCCATCTGTAAAGGGTGTCTGTGGGGAAAAAATACAACTGCAATCAAGCACAGTGTAGTGTGGAGTATGGCTCCTGACCTGAACTGATGGTAAAGGGAACGACTGGGGTGAAACCACTGTTTTTCCTTATGTTAGAAGGGCAGTGTCTCTACCAGTGTATCTGGCATAATAGTTGTGTTCAAAGCCTCTTCACTGAGCTGTTTGTGACTCGAGCAGAACCATCTGTGGTTCTTGTGCAGTCTGGCTCAGTTTGACTGCATTATTCCAATGGATATCTACTCTGAATCGTGAGAATGGATCCACTGACTACTTTCCACCTCTACCAGCTATTTTAGAGGATGAGCTTGTACAGTCCCTATCATTAGGAATCTGCACAGCTGCACGGGGTGCCTGGCAAGACCCAGTGCAGAGGTGCTGGGCTGACAGAAGAGGGGTAGTGCTACTGGCCTTGTATGGATCCTTTGAAAAGCTTTACAGTTGAGTGATCAAATCCAAGATGCACTGAGGGCCAATTTACGAGGTTGCTGCAAAAGCTGCCAGCTGATGCTCACCTTTATTGAAGTGGTAGCTGCTTCTGCAGGAATCTATTTTGGGTTTCTTTGGGAAGTGGACTCGCAAAAATTTGAGCAAAACTACAGTGAACTGCGGTGTTGCTCTGACTGTAAGCAGTCTCCCTTGTAGATGAGGGAAGAGAACAGGGAGAAGGAGCATACTGCTACTCTTATCTTGCTAAACAAGCCTAAATAGTTCTTATTTTGTAGGAAGTCTTTTTAAGGAGTGTGGGGGGGAAGAGGGAGTTGCGGATATGACACATAGGAGCTGGCATGGGGAAGGTCCAGCTGTGTGAGTAGGTAGTGTCAGAGCACAAAGGTAAGGTTTCAGTCACATTCTAGTGGATTATGGGCTTAAGTAGTAAATTTGAGTCCTGAGATGCTAGTTTTCTGTGGACAGGGAAGAACATGATCTCTGCTTCATGTAGTCTCAAGAAGTCAAAGGGAATAACTGGAGGAAGCCCTAAACACAACAGGGAGGGAGTTGCTAATCTCTCAGAATCCAGTGGTGTCAACTTCTTCTGGATACCCTGCTCTGTGTAGCAGAGACCACAGTTTCTTAATTGGAAGTGTGTTCCCTGGGACTGCTGTTCTAAACAATAAATCATTCGTGCTTTCCTGTTCAGAGCTGGTATAACTGTCTTTTTCAAGGCATCAGCTCAGTCTCCTTTGCTCAGTGGTCAGGTGACTTGCCCACATGGTGGTGGTGTAGGGCACAGTATGTTTCCTGTTACACCACTTGCAGCTCTGCTTGTACTAAAAAAACCTGATAACTAAGCCTTCAATGCTTTCCAGCTCATAACTGTGTTTCTCACATATCTATTTTGAGGGCCAGTATGCCAGGAAAAGACAATCTGCTTTGTCACCTAGCTTTAATATACCCTTGATAAACAAAAATAATTGGTAGACTCACCCCTCTGATTGAAAGGAATTTATTATTCAGCAAAGCTTGGCCGGTTCTGAATGGGTGTCTTAAAATTGTCCCAAATTTACCGAATTCTGAGAGGCAAAATCAACCTGTCCCATGCTCTTTGCTTAACTCAGTAAAGCAGTTCTGTGTAAAATGGTCCCAACAAGCAAGTCTTGGGGCTTTCAGTTTTCTAAACTTGCTGTGAATCCTGTCATTTCTGCTACTAGCTTGTACGGGTAAGTGCTTACACAAGGTCATGTGGCTCAACCCAGCAGGCTTCAGTGTTTCAATTAAAACAGATTTACAACACTTTACAGTTCTAGAGGTCACTTTGGTTGGCTGGCAACATGGAGTCCCAATCTCACTGAGGCACAAGGCCTCTGTGTATTTATTGAGGAGCATTTGTGCCTCTAACATCTCAATATAGAGGAATGTCAGGGTTTTGGCTGCTGCTGCTGCTATCGGTGCTGGTTTTTTAGCTTTGAGAGCATGTTGGTCTCTCCTCTTGTGTAAAGCTGCAAAGATCACTGCTGCCAGTTCACTCATAGCAAAAACAATTCCATATCTGTTACTATATTTGGTAACTGGTGAGAGATTTGTTATGGGAGTGCTTATCTGTTCTTAAAGGATCATTAACACAGCAAGGGTAAGCAATTAAATTAATGCCTTTCAGGTACATTCCACCCCTGATCTGGGGAAAGAGTGGACACATCCAGACTGCCCTTTATGGGAAAATGGGGAGAGTGAGATCACCACATCCATATGGACTTCGCAAGTACCTCACGATGCCAGATGGAGCGACAGCCACATTTGATCTCTTTGAGCCACGGTCTGAGCACTGCATTGGAGGTCAGTCAAACAGCTGCTGGCAGCTAACCTTGATTCTGTGCTCTGGGAGACGGATGAAGATAGAGCCCATGACTCCCATTTGGCCTTCAGAAAAAGCAGATTTCTTTTTTTAATTGTCGGTGTTGAGATCCTCATGTTACAATGCTGCACTAGAACAGTTACTGTTATCTTTGTAGCTGAAGAGAATTTGAACAATGCTTCTCTAATGAGGAAAAATTTCAGTGGCTAGAGCTGGTAATGTTGGAGCTTTGCACATGAGAGTGATAGCTAATTTGAAGAGCATATGCTAATCCTGAATGTAATTTACTGTAGTTACTTGAATTACAACAATTACTTTCTTCACTGATGAAATGATATCTTGTTAAAGTAGTGAGCAGTGTCAGCAGATCAAATATCATTAGATTAGCCACAGAGTAGATGATGGTTGATGTCAGCTGATCAGCATGTCTGTGCTTAGCAAAGCTTCATTTCAAAGATCTGTATTACACCCAGCTCTGGACGGGAAATGAGGGGAAAATAGCATAACCAGTCTACTTGGTGCATGAATGAACACTGGGCTCCGTGTCTTCCACACACATCGCAGTCACAGCAGGCTGTCAGAAGGCAGAACATGTGTGATGTCAAAAATGTCCATCAAAGGGAAGAATATACTCTTGGTCTCTAGGCAGCGTCTGTAGAACTGTTTGCACAGCTTTCCCTGAAGTTAAAAGCCGTTCATCTCCCATAACGTGAATTACTTTTTCACATCTGCAGTGCTGGAGCTGCTGGTCTCCTGTCCTGTACAGGATTTTTGGCAGACTAGTAGGAATTTTAGCTTGCTTGTGGTAGATGGTTTCCCACGGATCTGGAATGGAAACCTTCTGAGCCTCTTCATTTGCATGAAGTGACATTTACTTAACTTCCTCCCCTCTCTCTGTGCACAGAGGATGTCACGATGGTGATCTGCCCGGGGATTGCCAACCACAGTGAGAAGCAGTATATCCGCACCTTTGTCGACTATGCCCAAAAAAATGGGTACAGATGTGCTGTCCTGAACCACCTGGGAGCCTTACCAAACATCGAGCTCACTTCTCCACGAATGTTCACATACGGTAGGTATTTCATGGCACCTGGGGGACTTATTTTCAAGCTTATGGAATTTCTAGGCATTGATCAGCCTCCTTCGGGATAACACAACTGCTGCACCCAAATGAGGGTAATAGTTTCCTACTGTTTCCTAGGAACTAAACTGAGCTTACATGGGAGGAGGAGGAGAAGAGGCTAATAATACTGAATTCACTTTTTCTTGGCTCTTCTGCCAGCTCTTACACATGTTTTAATCAAGGAGGCATGTTTTTGAAAACTTCTGGAAAAGAACTTGTAGGTCTACCACAAGCCTGCTCAAATGATTTTAGAGATGCTGAAATTGCCAGTTTAGTGGAATGTGAAACAAATCTGTCTCTAAAGGATAAACGCTGCTTCTGAGGCTTTGTAAAATGTGACCCGAGAGGAGTTTGTACCAGTTCATCCAGAAAGTACATTTCTATCCTAGGAGGATTAGCCCTGCCTGTAACACAGTGTGAAGAAACAGCAACAGTTCTAGAGTATGACAGCAAAGCTACAGAAGTGGTAGTGCTTAACTGCCATGATTTTGGGCTCTCACCTTGAGTAAGATGTCTTTCTTGAGCTAGAAATGAAAAGAAATAAAGGATATGGAACAGTGTTAAGGGTGTCTCCAGCTAGTCTCAACTGCCCTATTAATGAGTAATGTGATCTTTGTAGAATGTGGCCTTTTTGCCTGTGACCTAATCTGCTTGTTCCTGAGCTCTCCTGAGCCTTTTTGTCCCTCTTTACTGTAAATATACTTAGGAACACTCTCTCAGGAGTCAATTGTGGGTTTACCAGACTAGTGCTAGGTTTTAAGATGACTACGACAGATACTGCTTAGAGTTTGGATTAACAGTTAGAGTAGTTATCTTGAGTGGTTAAATTGTCAAAATAGAAATATTGTGCTTTGAGATTCTGAGTCTGGCAGGCAAATAGGCTGTAATGCTTTGTTGCTTGTTTTAGAGTTATTAAATCTACTCCTCTTTGGAAAACACTTCAGGAATACGAAGTACCTTCATTTGTACTGAGGCCCTAGGCTGTTAGTGGCTGCAAGCCTACCATGTCTTCAAAACTAAGCTTGTCCTCATTAAAGCATTTGCTTTTTTTGACAAAAGTTGAGAGCTTGCTTTAGGCCTTAGGGAGTTACTCTGTAGTGCATCTGTTGAGGCATACCTGTCTGAGTCTTTTATAACCTTGGAAAAGGCAAGGAATGCATAGCACTTCCTTTGAGTAACGGAGTAAATCACTTGGCAGAGTTGCTTGTTAAGTAAAGTGTCAGCAAGACCATGAGCCGTCTTTACTCTGCCTCCAACCCAAATAACACAGTGTCCTTCTAGCTTTGCTGTATTCCAGACATATTTATTGAGGAGCAAGTAGCCTAAATATGGGATTCACTGAATCCTCCAGCCTAAATTTGGGATTCACTGAATCCCAGCCACTACATCAAGCTTGACCTGTTGCTATTCTAGCTTTGCATTTCTGAGCTGCCCTGAAATCGTGAAGGTCAACCACTAAAGTGTTTTGACTGCTGGCTTCTTCCAGAGGAAACCAGAGCAAGGCAGCTTTCGTTGTCTTGAGGAAAATTGCTCATTAAGACTGTTCACAAGGGAGTGCCCAAGCGCTGCTAGATTGCTCAGCCAGGAGCTTGCTGTTCCACTGAAACAAATACAAACCCTGGTGTTCAGAGTCTCCTCTAGAGGTAGATAAAACCAGAGTGATGTCTAGCAAGGATGCTACAGCTGGGTTGGTACAGGGTAGAGTCCTAACTCTCAGGATTTATCCTGGACAAATTCCACAGGGTAGAGCTGAATTTCTGACTCTAAACAGCAAGAAACATCTGGAGTTTTATTTCTGTTATTCATGAGATGCCTTCTGTGGTTTGCAGTCTTAATCCAATGAGGAAGTTAACAACGTGCATAGATAGTTGATACCAGTGTACTAATGCCATCAGTTTAGCAGCTTCTCCATATTTCCTTTTCCCATACTCAAAGGCAGGAGAAATAGTTGAAGGTACTCAAATGTTGCAGGTGCCTTCATGTCTGTCAAACAATTGGAGTATGTCAGAAACTGGACCCCTTGGTCCCAGCAGTCTATAGGATCCAAATGGATGCTTGCTGAGAGCAACAATAGATCTATATAGAGACACCTAACTCTTCCCTTGATGTGGGGATACCATGTGTCCTTTAGAAAACTGCAGTATCTTTATCTCTTTGGTGGCAGCAAAGGCTGTCTCTGCTGAAACCCTTCCCCCTGATTCCAGAGCCTGCTTAATCAGGCTCTGTAGGAGTCTACTGAGAGTTCTTCCTGACAAGCCACATCCCCTTCCAACATCAGTAGGGATTTGGGGACCCGTGACAGTCTTGCGAAAAGCAAAGGAGTGAACTGCTTTCCAGGTAGCCCACTTCAGAAGTGGCAAACTGCCTCAGGAAGGGAATGAGGTATGGTGCTCTTCCATTGTAATGTCAAGCCTGGAGTTGCTGGACTCTGCATTTTAGGCTGTTTTAGAAGAGTTTCAATTGTCACATCAGCTTTTTCCATGATTTTTAAGCACATAAATTTCATCTTATTTTGGCACTCTCTCAGAACTGAACATGAGCTAAGCTCCACAGGACTTTAACAGATGTATGAACACATGTGTGAATCAGAGCTCTTAAAACCTTAAGGCTATTGAAAAGTCAGAAAGGGTAAGAAGCTGAACTCAAAGCACGCAACTGAAGCTTCAAGCAGGAATTTAAGTATGTAAGAAGATGAATCTTTAACTTTGTCCTTTTTTTTTTTTTTAGGTTGTACCTGGGAATTTGGTGCCATGGTGAATTACATCAAGAAGACCTACCCTCAGACCCAGCTGGTTGTTGTGGGCTTCAGCCTGGGTGGAAACATAGTGTGCAAATACCTGGGAGAGAGCCAGGCCAACCAGGAGCGAGTCCTGTGCTGTGTCAGCGTGTGCCAGGGGTACAGTGCACTGAGGTGGGTCTGGAGGCTTCTCCATGCTGGTCTCTTCTGGGAGTGCAGGTGGGGGCAGATCCTTGGCAGGGTACATGTGGAAGGCCAAAGTGAAGACAGTTGTTTCTCTTGTATTGACCTGTGTGACAGACTGCAGTGTGCAGGATGCCACCCTCCTGAAGGAGCAGCTAAAGCTTTGTTGATTGGAAAGACTTAAGCTTCTTGTCAGCAATGCAAACAGGTTTTTTGTACCTGACCAGGTACATGCTGACAGCTTCTGGGCTGTGCTTGTGATGCTGTCTCGTTGCTACAGTGTCCCTAGAGGAGGCATTCCCTGTGCAGTCCTGCTGTAACTAACCAGGCAGGCTGGGCAGTGTGACCAGCTGCTGAGCTGATGCCAGGTTTGCAAGCAATAGTTTACACTGTCTCATCACTCTGAAAAGTATCCCGTGGTTCCTAATAGCTTGTTTGGCTTCAGTGTTTAGTTCCATCTGGAGGCTCTTAACCCGGGGAGACTGGAAAGAGACACAGCACACAGACTGTCAGTCCATGCTGCCCTCTTAGTGTGTGTCACTGAAACAGTGCTGTGGGCTGATGAGATGGAGGGACACTTGCAGCTGTTCTAGAAGTGGGAAGCTGGGGAGGAGAAAGCTTATAGCCCTGGAGTGTGCTGAAAATTTTAAGGTGTCTCCCCCTGCCCCATGGAAGCCAAGGCTGTGGCACTTCAGGAGCTGTGGTGGCTCCACTCACATGTACTGATGGAGGGTCCAGGCACAGTGCTGCTGCTTGAAAACTGGTGCCTCAACTAATGTACTTTTTTACTCCATGTATGCACAGTTAATGAAGCCAGTGTAACTGGCTAAGCAGCTGTTTTCAGTTTTTACTTTCTGTACACTTGGACAACTACTATGATGTATCTGACTTTACAGTAATTTAACTGCAGTTTTTGAGCCACGAGATTATTTATAAGGCAAGAGGGGCTGTTGAGACTCAGGTATTTGGTTCATGATACTTTGGACTGATAAAAATGGTGAAAAGAAAACTATGGCAGACCTGTGAGGAGCTTGTTATGGAAGCTCACAACCCAGTCAGGGTAGCTGGAACTCTCAATGCTGCTGATGCTCTGCCTGCATAGGGACCAGTTTGATATTCAGCAGTCTGAAGATGCCTTTTATGAATTAGGCTCTTAGAGGTAAAAATAAAAAGCTTTTCTGGAAACATTAAGATGAGAGTAAAAGTTTGATATACATGTAATATTCCAGCATACCTAGTCCCTTTTGAGGTCAGATGTGACTACTGCTAAAATAGATATAATCTGTTGCTAGTTCACACCCTTAAAATCTGAACAGATGCTGCAGGAACAGCTGTTCTGCTTTGTTTCAAGTAAAATGTTCTTAGCTGTCCTGGGGTTCTGGCATAGAGTACACAACATCCTTTTGAAGCCAGCTCCTTAATTGCAGCCATCAGACAAGGTTTGCAGGATTAACATCTGGCTGAGGTCCACTTGGTTCATCTTGTTCTATTACGCAATACTGTATTTCTGGTCTCCAAAATGATGTTTAGAGTAATGCTGTTATGCTTACAGGGCAAGGACAACCTGATTAACAATACTCCACTTGGATATTTGTGTGGAAAGACAACTGTTTGGTTTTTTTTTTTCTCTGAGTTTAATGCAAGTATTGGGTGGGTTGTGTGGATTACTGAGCTCTTGCCTCCACCTGCTGGGTAAACATTTCCTAGCAAACCTCCTGTCACAAAACATCTGCTCTCTATTACTGGTTAGCCAGCAGGAAGTCTTTTCAGGTCTTGTCTCCCTACCTAATATCTGCTGCTGCTTTAAGTGCTAATTAGCTGAAGAATTAGGGGAAAGCAACATCTAGTGAGCAGAAGACAGGAGAGGGAAGGCCTTGTGCCCTGGTTATAGAAGTAGGAGGGAAGGAGGTACAAAGCACCTCCGTGTAAATGGTTAAAGCCTTAGCCTTCCTAGGCTTGGTCTGGTAGATTAAAATAGCTGGCTTCAGCCTTCTGGGCTACATGGAAGTGGATTACCCTGGTAGATGTGACTAGTTAGTTTACAATTCCATTTTTTGATATTGGTTTGTCCAGCCTTTATCCCCCAAATAACTTTAGGAAGTGAAGGAAAAAAACGGTGGTGAGCAAGGGATCTCAAATAGGAAAGCATTTCCAGAGCAAGAGCAATACTAGGATTTGCCAGAAGAATGAGACTCTTAGTTTAATGAATTAACAGAATCTGGGGAATGTGTTCCCTGAGGCTAAACAGGGACAGGTCTCCTTATTCCTTAATCTCTGCCTGCACAGGCTTGATTCTGCTTCTTGATCTTGTGGAATGCATCATCTCCATAGCTACAGGCTGTGGGGAGAGACCTCAGCTTTAAAACCTGGGCAGTCCTCAAAATATGGGAAGCTGCCTGTGTGGTGGGGTTTTTTTTCGGTTTTTTTCAATGCTTACAAGCTCTTCATATTGGGAATACTGCTGTACACCACAGGAACTGCAGGGAAATGTAGTAGCTTTAACATCAAACATCCTGTAATAACTTAGTAGGTTTGGAAAATGTTTTGTGAGGAAAGAAATGTGCATTGTCCTGTCTTCCTTCATTCCCCTTCCCTGGCATAAATGTGGTAAATATAGTCTGGCTAAACAAAAAGATTTTGGAAGATTTGGTGGTTTGTTTGTTTGTTTGTTTTAAAGAAATTCCATGCTCAGGCATTGCTAACTACAAGAGAACAGCTTGCTTTTGCTCTGGTAGGGGATTTGCTGGTTATGGCTTGGGAGGTCATGCTAAATCTGCTGCAGTTCTTATAGTATGTTAATGTTTAAGTGGTAAAGTGCTTCAGTAGCTGAAACTGCTCCCAGCATTCTTCCAGTCACTGGGTAAATGATAGTGTGTTTCCTCAGTAACAGCAAACCCTGCAAAGACTAAAGCTCTAACCTGCCCATGACCCTGCATAGCAAAGGAGTGCTGGTATCTGGCAGAGCTCACAGAACTCTGGATGGCTTTAATTCTGTTTGAACAACAGATAAGCTGTGAAGTGCTATTCTGCTTTGAGAAAAGGTAAAGACAATTCAGATGATACTTGCAGCTGCAACTAGTATTTATTCTTACAGTTCCTGCCAATGAAGCTGTGTCTGTACATATTGGAAACATCTGCACAAATTATTTCCTCTGCAGAGCTATATGCACAACAGGCAACACTGTTCAGCAATGGGGTTTGGCCCTTTCCTTGGTAGTGCCATTATGTAAATTACATTCAACTTCTGCAAGGGGATACTTTGTCAGTGTTTTGGATCTTGATTGATGGCTCTTAAATGCTCTTATCAAAACTTCTAATTTTGTTGTGCAAGATGAGACTGCAGATCTGTTTTCTGATACTAACAAAGTTCATCAAAGTGGAAGTCATTTCCTGGAAAAGGTTAAGCTGTGGCAGGGAAGGCCTTGAGGTTTGTTTACATAGCCTCCAAGCTGCCATGAGATGTTAACAGTGTATTAATCTAATCTTTCAAGATCTCCATTAACAGCTTTGTTTGTTCTGCACTGTGTTTCTTTTCTAGGGCACAGGAAACCTTCATGCAGTGGGATCATTGTAGAAGATTTTATAACTTCCTCATGGCAGACAATATGAAAAAGATCATCCTTTCTCACAGGTACTGCAGTGCATCATTTACACTGATGGTATTGATTGGGTCAATTGCTATACTGGATTTGTTTTCCTGGTCCTTTAAAACAGGACTCCTGAAAGTTCTTTGGTTGGTCTTTAGATGAACCAACAGAGAAGGGGAGCCTGTGTCAACCTCATTAGTGTACTGTAAAATATACAAGTAAGCTTTGGTCTTCTTGTTGGAAGAAAGGCTTTGTTGTCCTTCTGTCTTCTCTGAAAGATTGCTCAATGAATAAACAAGACATGCACAGGAAAACATTGCAATTAGACTTCAAAGTCGAGTATTCTGCATCTGTTTCACTTCTAGCCAAAGAATTCCCTATTCAAGGAGCCTCTTGTTCTGCCACCTACCTGAGGTAGGACTAATCTTCAAGATCTACTGTATGGAGCTGCTGCTTATCAAATAAGCAAATAGTCAAACCTGTAGCTCTGGCTTCTAGCTGTTCCTCTAGAAAGAGCCTGTAGCCAGCAAAATACTTAATGTTGCTGTTCCTGGAGTGCAAGTGCTGCTGTTGCGATCCGTGTCTCTCACATAACAAAGGAATGTGTGTACTAAACAGATGACATACTCAATGTTGTTGTTTTCCCTCACTAGAAGTTCTCTGGGTGGTACTTTCTAGGTCAAGAAAGTACCTCATCCATGCCTGACTGGAGAGAAAAGGAGAGGAATATCTAAGATCCACTGAATTAAGAGCATGTGTCACTTCAAACTTTTGGTTCTTTGTTTACACTCTTGTGCAGTATGAAACACTTGTAGAAGTTAGGGCAGCTGATGTAGGATGATCCACATAATTCATTCCAGATTTACAAATATTTAGACAACTTGACCAAATTTAACATCTGAAGTTAGGTAAGCTCCCATTAAAAGGTACTTAAATTTGTAACCCAGAAAAAGCCAGTGCTGGCTTGAAGGCAAGTATGTTAAGTAAACTTTTTCCATAATCACTTGTGCTCTTAGGCAGCTCCCCCAAATCAAACCTAGCTCTACCCTGCAGCTGCCTCTGAAAGGGAATAAAAATCCCTTTCCAACTTGTGTCTTTTTTTTCTGTTTGTTCGGGGAGAAGTTTGTTCTGGTAAAGAAACATTGTCTCTCGGGGGCAATAATCAGTTATGACAAGTGTCCATAGTAAATAGCTTTCTGCTAAGGTAATGCCCCAAGTAATTTCTGTTGTGTGAGCTAGGCTGATGTCTGTGCTGGGGGGCTTTAGGACCAGATGGTGGAGGAGATGCTGTGCCCAGGACTGCTCTCACCCAAACCGTGCACAGGATTGGTCTGAAGCCAAAGAACCCTCCCTCTAATATGCAGCCTCTATTCCAAATACCCTTAGTGCTCTCTGTTCTGGGAAGATTGTTTTTAGGGGCCCCATCATGCAGTTTTTCAGTATATCAGGACAACATTTTTCTCTGAGGAAGCTGCTAGGGTTTCTGTTATGTCATGCTGCAGTGGGAAGTGGACAAATATGCTGTTCTGGTTCCCAAGAAAGCCTCATGTATATGTAGCCCACTTCTAGTCTTGTCAGATTTGGCAGACTCACTCGTCCTTGAAACAGGTCCTGCTGCCCTTTTGTTGTCTGGATGTAATTCTTGATGTTACTCTTTCAGGCAAGTTCTTTTTGGAGATAACATGAAGAAGCCACAAAGCCTGTCAGATGCTGATCTGAGCAAGCTCTATACAGCAACATCCCTGATGCAGATTGATGATAACGTGATGAGGTATGAGGGACAATTCTCTGCTCCTCTGTAGAATTCTGAAAGTACCTACTCTTCCCGATGTTGCTCTTGCATGCCCCTTGCTGTGCCTGTAGGAATCTGCTGATATACAGTGAACTCAACTTCAAATTCTTACTTACCTCCACACTGAAGAAAACTTAGCAGGAAAAACCTTACTATTGACAGACACAGCTTCTTTAAAATAATCCAGGAGGTGTTTATCAGTAACACCTGAACCTGCAGCCTTTAATAATGTAGGAATAACCTGCCCTGCTGGTGAACTCTAGCAAAAAAACCAACCAAACAAAAACAAACAAACAAAAACAACAACGGAAAAACCAAACAAAAAAACCCCAACAGTGGACTGTGAAAAGCATCTCAGAACAGCTCATGGATTTCCTTAGCTCTGTTTGAATCTTGTAAAGAACCTTCTCCCCAAAAAACACTGCTGCCTTCTCAATACCTATGAGGGTTGGTTGAAATAATACAACTTAGTTGTCACACTAACACCTATTTAAGTTCTCTGCTTTATTAAGCAGTAGCCTGTTGTTGCCTGTGTCCTTAACAACACTACAGCACCTTAAGTGGCAGTGTCCATACCACAGCATGTTCTGTGTCAGGCAATGCACCTTTCCAAAATGAAGCTGTAAACTTATATATAGCTCTCAGCTATAACACTTCTGGCAAACTTGGAATATTGTTGGCTGCTTATTAAAAAAAACAAAACAGACTATTCCCTGAGAGGGAAATCTCCCTACTTGTTTGACCCAACATACCAGCTATGTTGTCTCTTAGATAAAAACAAGGCACTTGAGTGTAGGTTTACTGAATTCTGAGGGGCTTATCAAGTATGTTTGAGCTTCATAAGCTGTGGTGAGGTTGTATTGGAAAAGGCTTTGAGGAAAAGATGAACAAGATCATAACTTTTTCTTTCTTCTACATGTACACTTAAGTGAAGTGGGATACTCTAAAAGAAATGCCCTGAAGCCTGCTAGTTTTCAACTTGCATTTTTAACTTACCCGTGCTCTCACAATGTTTGAGTAAGCACAGAAAGCATAAAGGCATGTAATGCCAGAGGTGGGTTTTGCAAAGACACTGGGTATTAAATTCTTTGAAAATTGAGGCATCATTCCTGTTTCTGCGTATATGTCCTCACTTGAAAGTAACAGTCACGTGGGTACTAGAAGCAGATGATTGCAGTGACAATCTGCTCTATTTCAGGAAGTTCCATGGCTACAGCTCACTGAAGGAATACTATGAAAAGGAAAGTTGCCTGCAGTACTTGCACACGGTAAGCTCTTGCAATAGACTGGTCTTGTATGTTCATTTTCCTACTGGAGAGAAAATACCCTGTGGCTTCTGTTGTTGATACCTGACATAGCTGTCTTAGTAGGATTTTCAGAAATAATCAGGCACAGTATATTGGAATGGGATTTCAGTTCTTGCTACCTCTAATACTGGGGGTAAATGCTCTGAGCTCTAACCAGGTTATAATTCTGGCAGGTAGTAGCACCCAAGTGATCTGGATAAAGCCGTGTGTTCAGCTGAGCTGCTCTGAGTGCATCATGACAAGGTGGGAAATGGGTGGTGGCATAGAGCCTGCAGTTTCCAGGAAGAAAGGTTTACTAGATGCTGTGGAAGAGACTTGGGACAATATCTGGCAAGCAGATGCTTAGTAGAGCAGAGTTTTGCAGAAGTGGAACTGGGATTAATTCTTCCTTTCTCTACTGAACCAAAGGATGGAGATGTTCCAAGGGAGTTTCCTGGACTTTAATCAAGGTATCCATAACAGAGCTGGCACTAGCTGCACTGATGTGCAAAGCAGAGGAAAAAAAGGGTGTAACTATTTGGATTCTGAGAATGGGGACTTGATCTGTGTTTGCTCTGATACACCCCGACCTCTTTCTTACAATTGAACTGGGGGAAACAATGAATTAACTCTGCAATAAGTGGTCTTAACTGAATTAAATGAAGATACTTTTACAGTTGGTAGATTGACATTCAAATATCAAACCCTTACTTTTGGTTTTTTCCTTTTATGCCAGATCTATGTTCCTCTTCTGTTGGTTAATGCTGCTGATGACCCTCTTGTCCATGAGAGTCTTCTATCAATTCCAAGAGCTCTTTCAGGTATGTTGAAGCAGTCTCCTCTAGCTGTGCATATTTGTGCACCTGCAGCTTGCTTGTCACATCATGATTCACCATCTCAAAGCATCTGGACTTCCTCCTTATGTCTGTAATGCTGTGGGAGATGTGCTAAGCCTCTTTAAATCACTAGTTGCTAGAACTAGCAAGGCTAACCTTGAGCAGAGAAGAACTTTAGTCCACTCTGCTGTTTTGGCTTGTGTTGATAGCCTGCAGGTGACATCCAGGTTATATTCTTGGATGGAAAAAATGATTCCTCATGTCTTCATTCCTCACTGGGATTTAATAGAAAGGTGGGTATTAGTGACAGTCTGGAAGAAGCACAGATAAACACCCCCCTTTGATGGAAGAGGGAGAGTATGTGAATGGCTGTGTCACTTGGCACTAGACTGAGATCTCTCCCTTGAAAGGAGTTGAGCTATCTTCAGACAAGGAAAAAGGAAAATTATCTGTATTAGCTCAGAAGGGGGAGCTGCTGCTGCTTCATCACACAAATAGTGGGTGGGCAGGGAAGGAAGCAGGCTCCATTCTTTTCCTGATTGAAGGCTGTGAGCAGAGAATCTATCCACAGGAGCAAGCACAAGGTTTTTTTCAGTATCCATGAAACAAGATGGCTGATACACTGTCAGAGCTTAGTGCAGCTTGACATGGTGCAACAGTCCTAGTTCCAGTGGATGTGAGTTAAAGATGTTCATTTGTTAAAGACTGTCCATTCTTAGAGCAATACAGCTATTGCTGTAAGGGCCTGGCCAGCAGCATTTCTTGGGCAGCCTTCTTGTGCTGTCAACTTAAGATGGTTTCATTCTCAGCTCAAAGATGTTAACCTTCTGGAACTTTGTCTCCTTTTGTTTTACAGAGAAAAAAGAAAATGTCATGCATGTGCTGCCCCTTCATGGAGGCCACCTGGGATTCTTTGAGGGGTCTGTACTGTTCCCAGAACCTCTTACCTGGATGGATAAGCTCGTGGTGCAGTATGCCAATGCCATCTGCCAGTGGGAGAAGACAAAGCCTCACTGCTCGGATGCAGAGCAGGCCATGTCTGCCCAGGAGTAATTGACCCAAAGACTCTGGATCACTTCAATATATCTCCCCCTTTGGGAACATCTTGTTCCCTCACCTGCTGCTTCAGGTTTCCATTCTCCTTGATATCCTATGGCTGGGGTTTGATCACAATGTTTTCTTCCGAAGTGGAGTTAAAGCAGAGGTTAACATCTGGTCAGAGCACTTTTGGGTGTATAGTCACTTGGGTTTGTAACTTACTCCTCTGCTTGAAGAATTAAGTTGCTGACTGTGGCTTGTTACAGGGCTACCGAGCTAAAGATTGCTTGCTTTAATATAACAGAAGTTTCAAATGTCGAAGTCTCTTCGCCTGCTGGTCAAAAACTTGATCTGCAGCATTTGTTTAAGTATAAATGACCAGGTAACTATGGCTCTGTCCCCTGTTCTGGTGCTGGAAAATACCTGTACCAAGCCACAAGCCAGTAAATGTTCAGTCTGTAAGCCACTACAATGTGGCTTGGAAAAACAGATGCTTGACTGCAAGTGGAGTTTCAGCTTTGCACCATCTCAAGGGAAACCTTGTAGTTCCTAGGAATGCACTTGCACAAGTGAATCACTTCAAGAATATTCAATTTTCTATGCTTCAGCTGTCTATGGTTTGGGGTGGCTTTATACTGGGACTCCAAGTAGAGAAGAGCTGCAGCCTGGTAATGCCAGTTACTGTTTCTATGTGTAGACATTTTCCTCACTTCAGGACCTGATTAGTCACCTTGTCACTTTTGCCTCTCTTTAAATGCAGTCATCTTTTCAGTACTGGATTCTTTGTTTGACCCAGGACTGGCTCTGGCTTCCAAATGGAAACCCAGGATCAAGAATCTGCAGGATTTTTCTGTGAGATCAATCTGTTTGAAAGAATATTTCATGGAGAGCTATGGACTCTTAGGGATTAATTGGCAGAGGGGTGGGGTGTATCTCTTTAGATTTATTCACCTTATGTCATGGCAAATAGTATCAAAATTCTTCCCCTTGGCTTTCAGAGCATCCAGTGGTTTTCAGACATGACTTACCTTACAGTTGATGGGGAGCAGGATGTGTCTAGCTCTGTGCAACTGAAATGACATCTCTGCATGGCTGACTAATTCCATAGCTGTATAATGCTGTAGGATTACTGGCTCCAGTAAGACACTGGGCTCTGTCTCACTTGAATTTCTTTTCCACACTCAGACATCCCCTTCTAGTTTTAATGTGCAAAGTGAGATGTGAAAGCTGGTTGCAGAAAAGATGCCTACTCACTTGTGCTTTTCCTTCAAGTGGTTGTTATGGTCTGTGCCAAGATGGTTATTAAAGACTTTAGTCTATCTCCTGGAAGGAAAGTTGTCTCAAGACAATCTGGAGACTGAAACTTTGTGGTAAAAAAAAAAAAATCTTCTTTTCTGTTTGTTCTGTCAATATTGTAGTTTCATTAATCCATCTTCAGGATTTCTTTATCACAGTGTCAGTGAAATTCTTTTTCTGTCACAGTTTCCACATCAGCACTTTATTGCTTCAGCCTTGGTCTGTGTTCCAGGCACTTTAATTTATAACTTAAGGGTGAAACAAGCAGCAGGACTTCAGTCTGGTAATACAGGGGAACAAGCCTTCTGGACTGCCCTGTCCCTGAACTTCAGTAGGGTGGAGAGGTGGGGTTTTGGTTTAATAAAGCAATAATTAACTATTGTAGCAAAGGTGCACTGTCATATCAGGAAATTTCTTTCATTTGCCTTAGGCCAGACCCCTTGGCCTGTTACAATGAACTGTGGATATCTGGACATTCTCCTTGTTAGTAAATCCAGGTTTCCTTTTTTTCTTCAAAATAAAATGAAACCAAGTAAAGCTACAGCAAGACTTGGCCATGCTTGTGGCTGTTCCTTAAGAACTATTTTAGGGCATCAGTTAGCAAGGATATTCTTAGCTGATGGATATCTTGTCTCTGTTATCCTCTTATTCATACTGCATCACTAAAATATGTCATAAGACATTTCAGTTTTTTGCTTAAGTAGTGTTCATGCAATATTCATTGGTTATGACTTAAATATCTTCTCGCTTCAGCAAAGTGGAGTGTAAACAACACTTGTACACATCAAATAGATACAGTATAAATTTAGGTGTCTCAGTCTCCTAAAATGAGGTGAGCAACTGGGCAGTTCTCAAAGCAGCAGGAGCTGTAACTTTGTCTAATGAAACAGATTTTTCTTTCAAGTTAGAGGGTCTTTCTGAGGAATACTTCTTCCTGCCCCACAATCCAAGCCTTCATAATTCAGAAGTACCAGTGCTGTGGACTTCTTGAAACTCTCAAGAAGTAATATGGGTCTCTGTCTTGCTCCTTTGCCTTTTTTTTGCACTTGCATCTAAAACTGTTCAAATGGCTTGTGACTTGACTGATTCTGGCCTCTTTGGGGAAGAAGAGCTTTTGTCATGGCTTGTTCATGCAAAGGTTTCTGGAGCCCGAAGTTCAGCTTATTAAGCCTGTGCGTGGAAGGAGTGGAAAAAAACCTATTCTCTCTATCTCAGCCAACTCGATGCTTCTTTCAAAGCAAGATTTGTGGTCATACATGCAGCAGTCAAATCTTGGGGAACTGGGAGAGGAGAAAATAAACCTGCAGTGCATATTATCTGAAGACCTTAAAATTGTCTATTAAATCTTGCTACCAACAATGACTGACAACTGATATCTGGTGCCAGTGCCCCTAGACACATGGGACTTTGTCCAGTCCTCCTCTGAAATACTCTTACTTCCCAAAATAAGGCAGTACTAGTCTTGTTATGTGGGCAGGTGGTCTTCATTTGCCCAGTGAACACAAACTTAAATGCAGTCTGAATTTTTCAGTCTTAAAGGTGAGGTTGTCCTTCATCTCTCATCAAGACACATGAAGTTGTTGTGGTGTGCACCTGTAGATCATGGCAGTATGGTCTGATAGAGCAGTTCAAGATCACAGCATGACAAATCTGACATGTGCTCTGCTTAGTTTCAAACTGGGATTAGAAAAAGCATTAGGAGAGTTCCTCCACAGGTAGTCTCATGGTATACACACCTTTCCCATCACTGGATGTAAGTAGCACTTGAACATAAACCCCAAGGACCTTCTCAATCAGTCAGCAGGTTGCAGAATTATTATTCTTTGATGGTTAGGCCGGTCTAACCATCACCTTTGCCATTTTTTTGGAGAGATCTGGAGAGTAAGCTCAAGCTTGCTCTTACTGAACCACCTTTTTAGTGGTACCTTAGTTAGCGGAGGTGTTTTCGGATGGGACTGGCAGTGCTGTAGTTGCACTGTAAAGGCAAACACTTGAACTTCCCTATGGTCTTTTCCCTGAGTGTTTCTCTGCAGTTCCTGTTTGTGAAGATACAGGTTACAAAGAGAGGGCATTTAGTAAAAATACTGGGAACTATTAACTCCAGTACTGAATTTAGCCAAGCTATCTGTGTGTCATCTGTCCTGGGTCTGCCACAAGTTCCTAGACCACAGCCCTTTGACACGTGGTGCCTTGCCCTTTTTCTCCTCCTCCCTTCACATCAACATATCTAGAGACTTCAGTAACAGCTCTGTCAGAGCTTTTGGGGCTTTGCTTTCTGGTAAATGAATTTTTAGACACTAGGTATCAAGGCACATCCTTAATGTACACTGTACAAGTGTGTGCTGACTTAAAGGACCTTTGTGGGCAGCCTACAATTAGCTACAGTCTATTTCAAGGCATAAAATAACAATGTATATAAGCAGTGGATCATTTGCAGCTCTCTGCTCCTCTAGCAGTTGGAACTGAGTCATAGAAGCAAGGTTTGCTTTGCTTGGTATGTGATTTGTTGTCTTACAATCCCAAAGTTCTTGTGTCTATTTAAACACTCCAGCAGCATAGCTGGAGGTAGATTAAGTGACTACATCTGAAAAGAAAGAGCAAAGAGTAACTTCTTCAGGCTTTAATTGCCAAACAGTTTAGTCACCTGGATTGCTTCCAACTTTTTCTGGAAATACTATGCTTGTCTGGAGCTTATTGAAACTCTTCAATTTTTTTTTTTTTTTTATTTTTTTTTTTTTTTTCTATGAGACCAGAGAAGGCTTGAGCCTTCTGCTGCATGTAGAAGTCATTTGTTGTAAAAAGCATCTTGTTTCTGGCTTGAGCCATACTCCTTGTGTCCTTATTCCTTAGGTGGGTCTGTTCATTGGGAAAGTCCTAGAGCCACAGTGACTCAAAACAGTGTCTCCTTCATGGCTTCTAGGTGAAAAGCAAAGAGCCCTTCTTGGTGTGAGAACTTTGAGTTTTCTCCAAGCTTAGACTTCCTCAGAGCATCACCAGCCCAAGATGGGGGAGCCCTGTAACTGTACCCTCTTCTCACTGGGAGTAGGTTTTACACAGGCCTGGACTTTGTCAGCTTTCCATGCTGTGGTGTGGAAGGGTTTTTAGGGTTCTTCTGAACATCTGTACAAGGCGGCACAAAGCCTTTTTGCTTTTGTCTGAATGACATTGCATTGTAGTCAAAGCTCTTTCATGACTAGAGATGAGACACAGAACTTTCTTCTAGGATCTCCACTATAGTTCTACAGGGATGCTGACCCTTCTCATGGCTCCTGCCAACTTGGGAAGTCTTTAAAATAAACAAAAAGCCAAACAAAACCCATTTGTATTCGATACAACCAAACCCTACTGCTTAGCCCAAGTCAACAGATTTCCAAAGAAGCATATTTTCTCATGTTATGTGACAGCTTGACCGTAATTCCTAGTGACAGATCACTAGATGTTCTTCTTTAGAAAGCATAACCTCTTTTCTCTGAAACTTCCAGGCCAAAGAGGTGTGTGAAGAGCTTGGGAAGAGGAGACCTGTGCTCTTGTTTTGCTTGTGCAGCTGTATTAGAAAAGGCAGAGTGACTTCTAATGTTCTTGGTGAGCAGTTGACTACAAAAACATTTTCAATTTGGCAAAATTATATTCTGCAACCATCTCTAAATGCTGCCCTGAAGAAACTTGTATATTGAGACACCCTCCCTGCTACCATGTTCTGAGTCAAATTCTCTGGAGCTGAGAGCTTCAGGGGAGATGATTTGCAACTAGCAATGCAATTTTTCTATATCTGCTGATGTTTACCTTTAAAATTATATATAAATATATATAAAACAATGTCTTTGATTTTTTTCATTAATTTTTGTTCTTGTGTGGTGTAAAATGGAAGTCACTGCAAAACAAAATGTAATTTTGTTATCTTTGATTTGGTGGGATTTCTTTATTTAAAAATAAAGGACTTATTGAAGTCAGTGCTACATCTAGTGACTGTGTGTGAAGTTATATATGTTGGCAGAGGCTCTCAGTCTTCCCTGAGGCCCAGTGTGGGGAGCTGGCTGGAGGGGTGACTTTATCTTCTCCCCCTTTCTCCCTTGCAGTACATAATGCAAGCACTAGTGCTGCTCGAGCCTTTCCCAGTTGCCTTTTGTCTTCTGGACAAGAAGGGGTCTTTGCCATTCTGGTGGAGAAGGGGCATGGCATCAGCTTAAACTGCATGCCTGCCCTGAAAATAGTGAAGAAGGGTTATTTTTGCCAGTGGAGAACATCTGTTATTTTACCCTGCCTGACAGGGAGTGGATTTCCTAACCTTTCAACTGCTGGCAGAAAAAACAACAGCAACTCCTGCCTGGACAGTGACACCTTTGAGCCCAGAGTATACAAAAGCACTACTCGCCTGACACTTAAGAGCTTGCTGATGTGTGGTTCATTATCTACAGACCAAGTAAGATAGAGGTGGAAGGTAACTTGGACTTGTGAGTCCTTAGGGCAGCAAGGTTGGGACAGGACTGTTGCTGCTCTTCCCCTGTAATGGGAATTACTTTGTGGGAATTGTTTTGGGCTTCATCTCTAGTTTACTGGCCATTAAGATCTAGCTGTTAGTTCTGCTTTAAACCTGCTTCCTGGCTTGGTCAGAGTCACTGCTCCCTGCTCTGTTTGCTGTGCTGTTCTGTCTCCCTGTCAAAGCAAGCTACTGGCTGACAGTCTGTCCCAGCAGTGGTGAGCAGCCACAGGGACCTCACAAAATCTGTCACTGTCCAAGTCCCCGAGGCAGCAGTGTGGTGCTTCTGTCTGTATGGTTTTGTTGGGTTGTTTGCTTTTTGTTTCCTTTTCCTGTTTTCACAAGATGCAATTGCTCTGACTCCCAGGCAAGCTGTGCTGTTGTGTTTGCACTGGCCTGATGGTTGCAGAGTTGTCACACGTGGTTTCCTTGGGATGGCTCCAGATGCAATAAGGAGTCAAATGAAGCCAAGAGGTGCCTTTTGCTCTCCCTCTGGCCTCTCGCACAAGGTTGGCACAGCCTCAGGCTGGGACTTGCCATGCATGGCCTCACCATGCTGCTGGGGCTGGAGCAAACAGATTTAACCCCAGTGGCCTCTGGCCAGACAGGCCCCATCCTCCCTGTGGCTTCAGAGCCCATGTCCTGTTTGGTTTGAGCCTGAGCCAGTGCCCTGATGAATGTGGCTCTTGTCAGTGCCCTCCACCTCGGCCAGCTTTGGGGGGGAGGGCTGTTCTGGCTGATGAAAGATGAAGATGGGAGGGGGGACAGAGCACACTGCAGGACCAGGCTGAGGGATGAGGTAACCCAGGGAAAGATGAGTAACTTGCTCCTCTCCCAAGCCCTACTGCTGACCCAGGGAGAAGATGGTCTAGAAACAGGTATCTGATCGGCTCCTTGGAGGAGGTGCCTGGTTCATGGACCAGAACAGACTGCCTTGCCTGGACAGCTACTTCTGCCTCCCTCCTCCCCACCCAGGTTCTACTGACTCCACATTAGCAAGGTCAAATTAGCATCAGGCACAGCTTGTTTACTGGGCCAGGACCCTCCTCTGCCCTCCACCCTGGCTTTTGGTTGAGCTTCCCTGACTAAGCTCCCTCTCACAATGCAGTGCTAGGACAAACAGCTTTTGAAGGATTTAGGAGGGTACATTCTGCTTGTCTTTCATTATTCTGTGCTTGAAATCCATCTCCTAGTCTCTGGCTGCTGCAGCCTCTGTTCCTCCTCTCTGCCTGCCTGGCTGAGTAGGAATTAGGCACAACCAGCTCTGCCTGGGCCCCTGATTGGGTTTTTCTTTGCATCTTTTGGGCTGTTTTCTCCTTCCTGGTTAGAGCAGGTGACTAAGAATTGGGGGTCCTTGCTCAGGCAGGGGTGGGACTTGATCTGGGATGCAGGGGGGATGGAGACAGACAGCTCCTTGGTCCTTGTGCCAAAGGGTAGTCAGTGATGAGGGACAGGGGTCTCCTACGAAACGCTGACGCTCCTGGCCTCCTTAAAACCACCAACACAGCCAGTGCCCAAAAAGCTGCATCCCTGTTCCTTACCACGAGGGACCCCAAAGCTCTGTTGTTAAACACTTTATTTCTCTCTCGCTGTAGCCCTTCCTCCCCAGAGCAGACACTCTCCTGTCCTCCCCCCACAGCTCCAGGGAATGCTGTGGGAGGGGGCTGGTGGCCTCCTTTCTCTGCTGGCTCCCAAGGGAAGGGTGCTCTGCCCAGGAGGGACAGAGCTGCCGGGCAGCCCCGCTGCCTGGAGTGGGGAGGGGAGGGACAGGCGTGGAGCAACACGCCCAGAGTGCCTCATCACGAGCAGTCACTCGACCAATGCTACAGAAGGGAGGTGGCTGGGGTTAGGGGGCCACCTCTGATGCTACTGTACAGGGCAGGGGGAGCAGGCCCCTGCTTTAGAGAGCTGTGTCTTCAGACTCGATGCGGGGCCCAAAGAGCTTCTCTGCAGTTGCTTTGCCGTCGTACTTGGGCAGGTTGCCACCAAAGTCTGCTGGCAAGATGTCAGCATCGATCTCCTGGTAGAAGGACTCCAGCTCCTCCCCGTGCACAAAGACCTGGAGGGAGATGGGAGTGACTCTCAGCAGAGGACTGGAGCCATTCTTCCCAACCACTCTGTTTCACCCAGGGATGTGCCTTTGCCTCCAGGCCCCTTTCCCACACTCACCCTCTCCAGCAGTTTGCTCTTCAGGAATGGTTTGACCACGTTGTAGGTGGTGGTGAAGTACCAAGGCTGGTGGATGAAGTGGACAGCCTTGAACCGTGCTGGGAAGGAGTCCTAGGATCCCAAACCGAGACAAGATGGTTACAGATGGTGCTGTCCACCCAGCTCTGTGCAGGCAGCAGTGGTCACCCCAGCATTGCCATAGCTCTCCTTGCCCAATCTCCCCTTCTCTGTTTGATGGCCCCTTTGTGTTCTGACCCAGAGGATCAGCCATCCCAGTCCCAGGAGCACCAGGAAGCTGAAGAGCCTCCTAGATAGTTCATTGCTCCCACTCCATGAGAAGGATCACATCTCTGCTGTCCTCCTTCCCTGGGGAGAGCTGAGTCTTTGGCCTCTGGTCCAAGGACAGAAATCCTGAAGTGTCTGTAAGTCTCCATCCAGCCTGGGTAGGGCTGGGCCGAGAGGTTGGTGAGGAAAGACCTCCAGACTTCCATAGGATGTTGTAAGTGATGGTACTGCTTCTGGTCAGACTTTTGAGAGGGCAGGGAGACGGGGTGGGAAAATTAGGATCCATTTTGCAAGGATTAAGCCAATTAGCTGGCAAGGCAAGGAGGGGGTGATGGGAAACAGCCTCTCCATGATGCCTTCTCATTGTGCCATTGTGGTGGCAATCCCAAACCCTGCTGCCTCCCTTCCCTGAGCTCTCTGCTCCACCAGGGCCCTCTCTGCCGCTGCTGGGCGCAGACTTGGCCACCTCACCTGTAGCATGTCCACCATCTTCTTGAGCTCAGAGGGTTTGATCCCTGATGCCTGCTGCATGGTGAAGCCCTTGAAGTTCTCAACAATGCAGAACCCATTGATCTGGGTCTCTTCATTTTCCAGCAGCTTCTCCAAGATAATACAATAGGCACGAAGGATCTAATGGAGAGGAGAGACAGGAGGGTCTTGTATGAGGTCTTGTCTCCAATAGGAACCTGCTGTAGGAATCAGGGGGTTCCCAGGAAGAGTCCCATGGAGTATTAGCCAGGGTCTGCTTGTCACAGCCAGCCCCAGGACTTCAGAGCAGGGAGGGCATTTCAGGGGATGCTCAGCCACCACCACATTCCCTTTCAAGTTAGGAGCAAGCTGTGAGTTACGTGCCTGGAGACCTCTTTGCCAAGAAGCCCTTTCTATGTCCCATGCCTCAGCTTCCTCCTCTGCCCTGTACATCCCTCCTTTCTGAAGGACCTTGTTTTAATGGCGTGGTGCCTTTCTTCACCCCATGTTACCTGGGCTGGGGGATGTACACCCCCAATTTGGTCCGCACCTTGCACTGCACTGGAGGGGAAGGAAGGGGAACACTTTCAGATGGGCCATGCTCTCACAGGCTTCCCCAAAGGATAAATTCAGAGGGCTACAGATTGGCTTCAACCTGGACATGTGTGTGGACTCATGCGTGTGTGTGTAAGGATGCTGTGCTCAGACCTGCCAGCGGGAACAGTCCGGGAGCAGGACCCCACCCTGCTCTGGGAGCAGTGTCTGAGGTGAACTGACCTCGTCGAAGGTGATCTCCTCGTAATCCCAGTTCTCAATGTTGAAAAGCATCACCACCCGCCCATGCTTGTCCCTGCTGGCCAGGATGCCGGGATACCCGGCCTCGATGGTGCTGCGCACGGCCTCGGGGCTCAGGTTCTCAAAGAGCTCAGGGTACTGCTGGCGGAAGTTCACGTAGCCTGGGGAGAGGCAGAAATTGAGAGGACAAGGGCTACTTGCCCAGCCTCGGCAGCTGGGGAAGCTGCCACAGATGGGATGGACTGGCAACAGTGAGATGTCAGTCCTGATCCCCAGAGCTGTGCCTGGGGTCCACATGGGTCAGAACTCCTCCAGCAAAGGGAGGGCAGCAGCAGACCAGCCCCAGCATGCCCAGTGTTATCCTCCCCTTGCTGGGAGCTTCCCATACCTGCCTTCTCTTCAACACCTCAACAAGCAGATAAAGTAATTTTTCCCCTCATTTCCCTTCTCTCCTTCCTCTCTGTTTGGGTGACATCCCCCAGCTCCCCTCCCTTGCTACCCTGCAGGCACAAAATAAGGAATAAGGAATTTCGTCCTGGGAAAATGCAGGCAAACAAAACAGCTCGTTTGTGAGCCAGCACTGATAATTACAACTCATTATCTCCCAAGCTGACACAAAGAAGAGCAGAGCTGGAGCCAGGCAGGTCCCAGCCGGCAGCCACCCTCCAGGCTGCCCTCCTGCTTCTCCTCCACCCCTATGGGTCACTCCATCCATCCCTGTGGAGGATGGGGTGCCCCAAGCCCTCCAGCCTGCCTCCAGCCCTTGAG